GAGTGCTTCGGCCACTTCTCTGTGATAATCTCATAAATGAGTTAAGAAACCCAAATAAAACATATGGCATTTCACTGTACCCTTGGATAATAATCTCATGTCAAAACAGAGAAACCACTTCCCCCAAATATTTACACTAAAAGGACAAGCCAGGCTGATACAAAAATACTCAGCAGCTTGTAAAAGTAACTTTTATTTGCCTGATTCAGTTGTTGTCTCAGAGGCTGACTCCTTCTGCTAACGTAGGCCTAGTCCTGGAAGCTTCTGGCCTCCATATTATTTAACCTAGACCTAGAATGTTTTCAGCCTCTGAGACTTACTGCTTAATAAGCTCACCCTTAGTTGTTCTTACTGAGCTCTGTTCTGGCTGGTTTAACTCAGCTGTTCTGGTTCAAACTCCTTCCCCAACTAACTTATACAATCTGGCTTTTCTCTTGCCCTCTGAATTGCTCTCCCTGGCCTCAAACTATCTCCAGCAAATTCCTGGCTCCTTCTCATTCTCTTCACCTGAGTTCTCTCTCCAGGTAAAAACTGCCCTCTCTTGCTCTCTTGGGCACTCTCTCTCTTTCTCCTTCCCTCCCTCTTTCTTCCTTTCTCATTGCCCCTTCAGTAGCTTCCCTTTCCTCTCTCTTCTCCTGAGAGTTGGGCGTATCCTATTCTGTTGTGTGATTTGTCACTGTTTCTGCCACTCAGTAGACATTACTTTCAAACATGGGTGCTTCCTTCTACAAACTAACTTTACCTTCATTGTTTGAGATTAGAGTCATGTGAAACTTGCTCGATACCAGGCTGTTCTTTACCTGAAACTTGCTCTATACCAGGCTGGCCCTGAACTCAGATCTGCTTGTCTCTGTCTCCTGGATTAAAAGGCATGTCTGTATTCACACAGATCTAGAAGGTCTTTAGATGTGATCTCTTGCCAGAACAGTCATATTCTGATTTTTCTACAGCAGCTCTCAAGCACACTAATGAAAATGTGTGAGTCAAAGGGCCAGCAACACCACCTTCCAGTGTCACTCCTCACCAGCCTTTGAAGCCCTAAGCTCAACTCATTTTCCTATCAGATATTTCCCATCTACAACTAGGGCCAGATGAATAGGTGGATATCTCAAATTATTAGTCAGGTATGTGTTCAAAGTCATACTCCTTATAAGTTCACCCATCGTTTAGAAGGACATAGAACAGAGTATGAATGCAAAGACAGAAGTCGAGAGGCCTCCCCCTCACTTCATTGGTTCTCAGCAATTCTAAAACTCCCATTTTAGAATACAATCTGCTCATCACCATTTGTCAACTGGAAGCTTCAATAGCCCAAGCGTCTTTACATAGTATTCCTTCCAAAGACATGCAAACTATCTATCTGAAAGAAGAGCCACTGAGGTTGGGAATGTGGCTCAGTCAGTGGTAAAGCCACAGCTACAAGCAAAATTGGATTCAACTCCCAGTCAACTGAAGACTATGCATATCTCTCTGTACTCGCAGAAATGTTCTAATGCTCACTATAGATGCCACGGGCAGAAAAGCATCTTTCTCCCTGTCTCTGCTCCACCTGTGATAGCTGGGTACTGTCATTAGCATCACATCGTATTTGGAAGCCAGTAACTGTAAGATTGGTCAAGTTAAGTTATATCCTGTCTTAGTGTTCTTGAGCCTCTGCTACTTTATCTCTAAGATGTAACCCCATTGATCAATTATACAAGTGTTCTGTTGGTGGTTTTTAGGTGTTTGTTTGTTTGTTTGTTTGTTTGAGACAGGGTTTCTCTGTGTAGCCATGGCTGTCCAGGAACTCTGTAGACCAGGCTGCCTGAGTGCTGGGATTAAAGGTGTGCACCACAGCAACCAGCCTAACAGAAGTGTCTTATTGGAAATATTCAGGATGGAAAACAAAACAAAAAAAAGTACCCCTCAAAAGGGGGTGGGGGTGAATATGAGCAATGTACATGTACAATGACATACACATATGAAAAAGTCATAATAAAATTCATCCTTTTGTAAATGAATATATGCTTAAATAAAAAAAGAGTGCAGAGATGACTCAGCAGTTAAGAGCATCTAGAGGACTCAGCTGCCACACAGCAGCTCACAATTCTCTGTAACCCCAGTCTCAGGTAATCCAATACCCTCTTCTGGCCTCTGTGGGTGCCAGGCATGCACACGGTGCACAGACACACATGCAGGCAAAACACCTGTACACATAAAAACAAGAAAGGAAAAAGAAAAAGGAATGAATGACTTATGGGTCTTCTGTAGTAAAGACTAAACCAGCTGGAGGCAGTAATCCTTTGAGACAACAACTGCCATCAGGTTTCTAAAAGTCAGTTACAGGATCTCTTCAAAAATTCCTGTACTTCCATCTTCCAGTGATGGAGAAGTGTGCCCCGCTAGCCTGTATGAGGCAGTCAATCAGGAACTGATTTCCCTCGTATGAAATCAGGGCTCAGGTTGTGAGCCCTTGTCTCGAGGGAGGAGCAGTTCTATTTTTTCAGTTTCTATGCTTTAGGCTGATCCTATCCGCTCATTCCATGTTCCATAGCCTCAGAAGGCAGGCTATGAGCAGCTCTTTCATTTCCTACCTTAAAGTCTTTCCCAACTGAAGCAGTTAGAAGCAGTGTATTCCCTAATTATAAGTTTCTTATGCTAAGTCATTATAAAGGCCTCCATCTTCATGCTGAATTATGGGTCCCCACCCCTCTTCTATACTAAAACATAAACCAGAGAAATATTTTCTATCACTTCTCCCTTATTCTCTCCCTACTCTCTGGTTCTTCCCTCAGTTCCAAGGTTTTGATCCCAGGAAGTACTCTCTATAACAGATCTAATTTTACTCTTTCCCCTATGTCCCACCTGCCATTCAAAGCAGCAAGCCTTTAACTCCACCTCATCAGCCCTTCCCCAAATTTCCTGACAAATCATAAGCTAATGTTATGTGGAGGGCAGTATCACATGTTCTTTTTCCACTGTAACTCCTCTTGCATGCAGTTCTTTCTGGACAGCTCTGCTTCAACTACAAGGACCACAAAGCTTACAATCTAGTTTCATATGTGCTGTTTCAAAGACTGCAATATATTCCTTAGTTCATTATCCGTTTTCAGGGCATCCCATTACTATAGCCTGCTTCTATGAACTCCACCAAAACGGCATTGCATTCCATAGCACGCAAAGCAGTGGTTCTCAACCTGTGGGTCATGACCCTGTGTGTGGGGGGTCCAAACAATTCCTTTCTCAGGGGTTAAATACCAGATATCCTGCATATCTGACATTTACATTATGACTCATAATGGTATAAAAATTACAGTTATAAAGTAGCAACAAAGTAATTTTATGGTTGAGGGTCACAACATGGGGAACCACTGACAGAGAGGAAGACAGCTACTCTAGAATTCCTTCCAAGCATACATCACTTTCAGCTTGGCCTCAGACACATATCACCTGACTGCAAAGGCACTGATAACCAAAGAAAAGATTCCACTTGTAAGCTAACTGTGTCTGTTTGCTGGAGCTACCTATAGAAGCATAGGTGGCTCAGGCGGCTGCCTTAGGTAAAAGACCCACTGCGGCACAAGTGAATGCTGCAGCACTGCTGCTACCCCACCTCCCGCATACCCTAGCACACACCCTCCCCCAGGACCACGAGCGGCTGGGTCGGGGCACAGGAGACTGGCTGGAATTTCTACTAGGGGGTCTATTGACATTCTCTTCCCTCTCTACCTCTGTGGTTGTCTCCTATGGAGAATCACAACTGCTGATGTCAAGATGGTAGAAGTCATGTCATGCCTGGGCAACAGATTTCCACAACCCCTCTTATAGGGAGACCAATGATCTGGCCATTTATTCAGAAAACAAATGAGAAAGACCCAAAGAACTGACACATGCAAACCTGTACCTTCAAAAGAGAATAAAGGTGACAGATGGAGAAAACAGACACACTCACACCAGAAAAGGCCAACTATTAGCTTTTTAGGTTGCTGTTCTGAGACACTCCCATATCGACTTGAACTCATTTGTGTAGTCCAGTATGGTTTTGAACTCATGGCAATCCTCCACCCTCCGTCTCCCATGCTAATAGAGTTTAGCTCTTTTTACTCTTCTGGACTCAGGCCCCATCGTATGTCTGGTGGACACCACCCGGACGGGACTGTCACAGTCCTGGGGCTAACAGCCACTGCAGAGATCAGGGCTTCCTTTACCCCACCCCCACACGCACCGGGCCGCAGGCTGAGGCAACGCAGGCGAAGCAAAGCACCCCGAGCCCTGAACCCAGAACTCGCGGCTGCGTCTCCTCACCAAGGTTGAGATCCAGCGGACACCAAGGCAGCAGGTCTCTTCCAAGATCCAGCAGCGCCATCCTAACCACGGAGGTGCCGGCTTGCCTCCGCTCCCGCGCGCGCTCCGAGACGTTTCGGCGGACCAGTCACAACGTTCGGAATTCACAATCGACCAATCACCGCGCTGAGCCGAGTTCCTAACTTAAACCAATGGTCTGGGTCGTCCACTGCGTGAGCAAAAAATGGGTGGGGCGAGTAGTGGGAGCTAAACGAGGCCCGTGGAGATTTTTCCTTTAGCATTCCGGTTAATGTGGGGGGGTCGGGACGCCACTAGTGTTCTCCTTACCGTCTTTACCGTCCGTCTTTACGCGGCAGGACCCCTAGAGGCCAGTGGAGACGGGATACTTCCTGTAATAGCAGCCACCTTTGCCCCTGCCGCTGTGCGTGTCAAAGGTACCTCCGGCAGACAGCACGCAAACGGTGTTCATAGTCGGAGGTGAAAGGCATCCCGGCATTTGTCGGGCTAAGACATGAGGGAGATGCAGCCAAAATATTACAAGGACGCACCAGCAGTGCTGGGGCTTTACAGAACATCTGGGCCCGAGCTCGGCTGGAAAGAGGCCAGGGCCGCCATGTTAATTGAGGGAGAGACGAAGCGCGCTATGGCACTGCACATGCGCGGATGAGCGCAACCCGCCGAGGGCCTGGAGGCGGGGAGGGGAGGAGGAGTGGGAAGAAGACGTGCGCGTGCGCGTGGCATCCTCTTCGCATCCGGGCCGGAGTTCTCCTGCCCCCTCCCCCGCCCCGCGCCGCCGTAGCACTTCGGTGCGTTGCACCGCGGGAGTCTAGGCAGTTCAGAGTGCGTCTGGGCGCTGGACCCCACCCGGTGGGCGACGGCACGCGTGCTCGCACCCTTTTGCCGTGGTCCTAGCAGCTGCACCTCCGGGATCTGGGGACGTAGGGTGCCTGGCCTGTCGGTGCATCGCTGCCCTGGGCGCCGCAGCCCGCAGCCGCCTGCCTTCCTCGGCCCTGCCTGTCCCCAGGGGCTCAGGCCGCCGGTGATCGCCCACCGCCCAGCTCAGCCGAGCAGGGCAGCGGTGCGGCGTCCAGCGCGTTCCCGCAGCCGGCCCTCCGGCCTGCCTTCCCCGCAGGCAGCCCGCGCCTTGGAGGGAGGGAGCAGTCTGAGCCGACACCGGCGCGGCCAGGCGGGGCGATGAGCTTCTTCGGCTTCGGGCAGAGCGTGGAGGTGGAAATCTTGCTGAATGATGCGGAGAGTAGGAAGCGAGCGGAGCACAAGACTGAGGACGGGAAGAAGGAGAAATATTTCCTCTTCTACGACGGGGAAACCGTCTCCGGGAAAGTGAGCCTATCTCTGAAGAACCCCAACAAGCGACTAGAGCACCAGGGCATCAAGATCGAGTTCATTGGGCAGATCGGTGAGTCGGTTGCCTGGGATCTCCCAAGCCTTTCGGCGTCAGCCCGCCCCTGGAATCGAGTGTGTGACGGGCTGGGAGCAGAGATTTTCAGGGCCCAGCTCCTGCGAGGCCTGTGACAGGTTCTTGTCAACTGCAGTCTAAAGCCGGGGGCTCACCTACGAGTCCCGCCCGTGAGCGACTCCCTCCTGCATTCATCACCTTCTTTCATGCCAAAAGTGACAGCGTGCTGCTGGGGAGGTGGGGACAGCCTAAATACGGTAGGGAGCCCCCTACTGTATGGTTGGATGCTCATCTGGTGCCTGGGTATCCCCATTGTCTCTGCTGTATGCTCCCAGCTTTGCTTCTGATACCCGGGATTTCATAGTGGGGTGCTTAGGCGATAACCTGCAGGTGGGGTTGACAGCTACAGCTGTCAGATTCAATCTAAAGTTAAGCGGTGACCCCATCCACCCATCCATCTATCCCCCCCCCCCCCTTTAAAACTATGGTGTGGTTGACAGGGCTCATGTTTTCTGTTTAGTTAACCTCCCGTCTGAACGACCTTTCATGTGCATGACTTGAATACCTTTAGCCTGCCTCTTTCTGACTACCTATATTTCTCAGACTTCTTTATTACAATGCTAGTCCTTAGTTGTCTAATTTTCCCCGTAAAGTCAAAGAAGTGATGTTGCAAAGGCTATAATTAAATGATCAAAAATTTGCAGTGCTCAGTAATCATCTTCAAATATTGTTAATTTTACTGGAACTAGACAAGGGAAAGTAGTAAAAAAAAAAAATATTTGGGGAGCCAGGTGAGTTTGGTGGTACATGCCTTTAACTGCAGCAACTGGGAGGCGGAGACAGGTAGATCTCTGTGAATTGAAGGCCAGCCTGGACTACATAGTGAGTTCCAGGCCAGCGGACATTATGTAGTGTGACCCTGTTTCAAAATAAAACAAAATCCCACAAAGATTTGGGGAGCTGCCCATCATGATTCGGTTGTCACCAATTCTAAGTATATGGAGTCTTTTGTGTTTTCACATCGCTTGAGTACTTCTAAAATAAAATATTTGAGTCATGAAGTCACCAGTAGGTTATGCTTTGTGGATGGTGAACACCTGTCAGAAAGTCTGTACTCTGTACCCCATACTGCACATACGGACACTGATTTTAGAGACTTCCTTGGGAAAGCCTGATAAGTTCACATGCTAAGACTTCAGCATAGCATTTGTTTTCTCTCTTCTACAGAAGCAGGGAACACTGGTAGGAGGAACACTGGGAAAAGAAGTCCTGGTGGCTAGATTTTGCAACCTGCTGTTTGGCCTTAAGCATCTTCCCTCTGGTATTTAGAGATAGGAAATCCAGCTGAGGACTGGCTGTTCTTAAAGGGCCTTTTTTTTTTTTTTTTTTTTTTTTAAGCCAGGATGTGAAAGATGCATTGCTGTAGCAGAAAAGGGACTGGAGTGTGCATTTCACACTGCTTGCTCTCCTGCTTCTGCCTGGGGTGGCAGGACAGGAGCACTGTTGACGGCTATTTGGAGCCTGGTCGTTGTTACCTGTGTCCACAGTTTTTTCCTGAATAGAAACTAATGGCATTCCCCACTTTCCACACAACAGTGCCTTGGGATAGTGCTGCGTGTCCCCTTGGAGGATAAAATCACCTCATAAAGAGTCACAGGTCAGATTATATAAACCCGAAGCATTTTACGTTAAGCATAAATATATGAAATAGCCAGTAATTGCCTACTGAGAAATTGGTATTTTAAGTAGGAGTTTTAAAGTTACTCCATCAGTTCTTTTGCTTTGTAAGACCAGTACAAACAGGTATGTTTGAGTCTTTGTCTGTACCATCACTTCCTGATTGTGAATATCTCAGAAAGTTCCCTGACAGTATGAAGTGAGCCATTCTACAAGGAATGCATGGTGTCAGGGTCTCTTTTCATTTTACCGCAGGGTAGCCAGAGAGCCGTTGCCTGTGGTTGTCCCACCTGGTCTCTTGCCTAAATCCTTCCTTCCAAGATTGCAACCTTACTGAGTTTTCTTAAAACCTTTTACTGCTTCTTGGGGTAATTTTCCCCTGGGCCTTGGCACACTGACCTGATGGGGCCTCAACTTTGTCAGGTATAAATAAAGTATAATAAAATCACCTGGTTATTATGCTGAGCTACTGGGGGGACTGTGTCTCCCTGTCTCACCTAGAGGGTTTCTTTATACAAGTAAGAGTCGTCAATGTAGTGACACTTCTATATCACAAACTGAATTACAGCCGCTGAGTCAGTCTCTTCCTCTAGACTTCTTATATTCTTCCCAGTTAGCTGGCCAAATGGACTTTTACAGAGTACATGTTTCAGTTCTTTGCCTTAAAGCATTTGCTTCGGCCACCTTCCCTTTCACAGCCGCAGTGGGTGTGGTGTTTAAAGCATATAGTTTGTATTCACTCGTATTCATTATCCATGGTTACACGAGAGAATAATAATAGATTAAAACAGAATTATAAACAGTATATATATTGTTTGGGCTTGAGATATATTTCTTTGTCAAGGAGAAGACATCAGAAAAACTTTTCTAACCATATACTTATAATGTCAGGACTCCAGCGGGTAAGCCAGGAAGATCTTGAGTTCAAGGCCAGTCTGGCTACACAGCAAGACCTTGTCTCAAATGAAAGCAATAATGAAAAAGCCTTTCTAGATATGTTTGGTACAAAAGTTTCTCTTCCCACTTTCTCCATCTCTCTGTTCCTAAAACGGATTGATATTAAAGATGTCCCAGCTTATTCAGACTTTCCTTGAGCTTTGTATTTATTTATTTTCTTCGTGACTTGCCCTTAGAATCAGGGAATGACGTATTGTGTTACACATCTAAGACAGTTATTAGGAAGTGACTTCAGGGCACCAGAGCGAAGCCAGTGGGTAACTTTGTTGAAGTTGTGGTTCTGTGGTTTTCTCCTTCATTGCATTCTTTGACTATGTATCAAGTAGGTGGAACTCTTGTTATAAAGTCAGGCTATATGGGTAACTGTAGCTACAGCCAAGAGAGTTACTTACCGTCAACTGAGTTCTATCCTCTTTCCTGATGAAACAGGTTGTTTGTTTGTTTGGGGTCCTGGAGGGGTTGGAGCTGTCCTCCCTTGTCTCACTCTATAACCTGTTTTGGCCATCTCTTCTATATCCTTATCATGATCTTCTGCAAGGATGAACTTCCTAAGAAGTAATTCTCATATTGCCAATCCCCTTAAAAGCTGTTTTTTTTTTTTTTTTTTTTTTTTTTTTACCACCAGCTCCTTAGCAAGAGTATATTTATTTTCTTCCTGGAGATTGTCCCAGCCTGCCTTTCCAGATTCATCTGTTTAACTTCATCCTCACTGATGATAGCTTCTTCAAGTACCTTCTTCAAGTCAGGCATGGTGGTATACACCTGTAAGTCCAACATATGTAAGACTGAAGCAGGAAGATCCTGTAGCCTAGGCCAGCCTGGACTACACAGTGAAACCTTATCTTAAAAAAGAAGAAGCAGCAAAGAGCACCAGCTGCTCTTCCAGAGGTCCTGAGTTCAGTTCCAAGCAACCATATGGCAGCTTTACAACAGGCTATAACTTTAGTCCCATGGAATCTAATGCTCTCTTCTGGTATGCAGACATACATGTAGACAAAGCAACTAGATACATAAATAAATAAATCTTTTTTGTTTTGTTTTGTCAAGACAGGGTTTCCCTGCGTAGCATTGGCTGTCTTAGAATCACTCTGTAGATCAGGCTGGTCTCGAACGCACAGAGATCCACCTGCCTCTGCCTCCCAATTGCTGGGATTAAAGGTATGTGACACCATCACCCAGCTATAAATTTTTTAATGAAGTAAATAATAAAAATCCTCTTCTGTATAAGGCCCTGGGTTTAATAAATCCTAGTACTGCAAAAAAAAAAAAAAAAATCCTGTTCCTTCTAAAGTTTTGGTGTCTTCTCCTTGTATTTTAACTTTTTTTTTGTACTTTTTCTTTGAAAGCCTACTCATCACTTCTGCTATTTTAAGTTCCAAGCTTACCTCTTTTCAAGCAGGTTGTGATTTCATTATTTTTGTGTTTATTTTGTTTTTTGTTTTTAATTGTCTCTCTTCTTACCCCTAAAGCCCTGAAACTTCCTTCAGTCCATCGTTAGTCCAGTGTAGTCCAGTGGTTAATCTCTAGTCTCAATGGCTAGCTAGCACATGGAAAGTGCTCAGTAATTTTGTTTGTAACTGCTTCAGATTTAAAGTTTGTTTGTTTTTAGAATAGCATAGCTTGGCTATTCTAGATTCACTTTATAGACCAGGCTGGCCTCGAACTCTCAGCAGTCTGCCTGCCTCTACCTCCTGAGTGCTGAGTGCTGAGATTACAGGTGTGCATGATTGCACACAGATCTAAGATTTTACAGAAACTATTTTCTGGTTTTTTTTTTTTGTTGTTGTTGTTGTTTGTTTTGTTTTTGTTTTTTTTTTTTTGTTTTTGTTTTTCTTGTCTTCTTTAGAATCCAGGAACAAACTTAGAGCCATAGCTCTACCAGGCAAGTATTCCACAACTCTGGAGCACATCCCTAGAATTACTTTAATGACAGAAAGGACAGTCTAGATGAAGCAGCTGGGTTTCTTGCACATGCTTGTGCAGGACACAATAATGAGCTATGTAGCTAGAAATCCCAGTCAAGCCCTGAGAACTTAGGTGGCACATGACCATCATGCACCTGTTGGAATAGCATCTTCTTAAGGAATCTTTGATGTGAGAGCTAGTAAATCTGATGTCAGCTTACTTGTCTTTATGTATTTTTTTATATCATATTCCTATTTCAAGTTGAAATTACTTCTCCCTGTTGAAAAGAGGAATTACCAGACCTGTGGCTCACGAGGTCCTGCAGCAACTGCTCTGATGTTACAGTTCGAATATTTTCTCCAGAGAGTAATATGTTGCCAGCTCTTCATTTAGATCGATGTTTTTGTAACCCTCTGATTTTTAGCTGCTGTCCTCCCTATACCTAGCATGCTTCTGATAGCAGTCTCGGTTGGAACAATGCCAATAAATGTGTGGTAAGCAAGTCTTCTAGGTAAGACCAGTGTAATTAGAAAGATAAGTAGTATAGAGAGAGCACTGAGGGAGCTACTGCATAGTTTATAAGAAAAGGCCATTTTCCTGCTGGAATCCTTTGGGAAACACTGGTAGATGTAAGCCTGATCTGAAAACTTTGGAGGCTAATGGGGTTAGATGAACTAAATATAATTAGAAGGTCAAACTTGCAGCTATGGACAGACACACATATTCTTATACCCCAGAGCCAAATAGCTAATTTTTACAAAGTGTTTAATGAGCTCATCAGTACTAATAAGCCTTTCCTTTCAAAAACTCCAGAGACTTTTATTTTAATTCATTTACTCTTGAAATACCAAGTGAAAAAGCATGTGGAGGTTAACTGGATCGATTCTGGCAGACTTACTAAGTTGTCAGCAGGGCCTAGATTTGCACAGAGCAGAATTGTGTATGTACAACCCCAAGGTATAATTGTTCCTATGGGTCTGCCAGACGCAGGAGCTTTAGTGGAGCTGTAGCAAGCAGGAATCGTGACCATGTGGTCCGCAAACAGGCTAGGAAAGTCAGGGGTAAAGGAAGCTCTTGATGCTTTATATTTCTCCCAAGTCTGACATGATACCTTGACTATATGTGGTGGAAGCCTAGAAGCTGGTCCCAGGGTGACTCAGAGCTTTAGCCTGTGGTGTAAAGATGGCTTAATATCCTTCTACGGTGGCAACCTCACTTCTTGGCCATTGGTGGTAGGTATTATTTGAAAACATCCTGAGTGCAAAAATCATTTCCTCCTTTTGAGTAAAGAAGGGAACTAATGACAGAAGTTACTTGGGGAAAAAAATGGAAGTAGGGGTTCAGTTTTTCTTTCTAGCCTGAAGAGCTGTCATGTTTGGGATGACTCTAGCTGCTGCTTTGGGATGGACAAAAGGCTTTTATAGTCTCTTAGGGGCTAGGCCTCTTGCTAGAACACTTGGATTTTCTGCCTTAATTTATTCAAAATGAAACCAACCTTTCTAGCAAATAGCAGTGCAAAGCTCTGTTTCTGTCCCTTTGGCCACAGTATTGGCAGAAGCATTCCAAATTGCTTATAAAATTACAAATCAAAAAGGCCATTCCAGGCTAGATGTGATGGTATACGCCTATAATCCTAGCACTAGGGAGGATGAACCAGGAGAATGACCAGGAATTTAAAGCCAGTCTGGGCTATGTGGCAAGACCTGCTTTAACCAAACAACAAAAGACCATTCTAGCTCTCCTCAAACCACAGTGTTCTCTCATGGAATTTCACATAGGCACTGACAGGGATGTGATATAGGAAGAAAAGCACTGGGGAGAGTGTGATGCTGCATAGAAAAGGACTTCTACTCAGATCCTCTGCTGGACTAGGTAGGGTACTGTGTTAGGACCCTCAGATACCGGTAGCCTGAACACGCTCTGAACTGAACTGCCTCTGTTTTGTTTATTTTTCATGTTGCCTTTGGGCTGTATCATCATTGCCTTTGTTTTGTTTTGTTTTGTTTTGTTTTTTCTGTTTTTCTCTTGATACTGCAATTTTCCGTTGGAAGTTTATGGACATTGGGTCGATGTGCTTCTTATATGAATTCATAGGAACTGGGACCAAAATCCATTGCACATGAACTGAGGTACAGGGTTGCTAAGTTAGGAGATCAGTTCTAACATGAGCCAGCACCTTCTACCAGGCTAGGTTGCAAGACTGAGTGGAAGATTTCCAAAGATGGCCAGCTCAGACCTGCCCGGTCCTTCTCCAAATGTTCCTACTTTATTGGTGGCACATAGTTAGTTACTGGGTTACTCACTTTCTTCTACATAATTTGGAACTGTTGTCTCTCTTTAGTGGATTTGTGGGTTATTACTCACTACCTATCATGCCACCCACTGCTGAGAACACTTAGTATTTGGAAAAGGAAGTAGATTATTTGTAATAATGGACTGGTAGCTGGACGTGGAGGCACATGCTTTTTTTAATACCTAGCACTCAGGGCAGAGGCAGGTGGATCTCTGTGAGTTCAAGTGAGTTCGAGGCCATCTTGGAATACATAGTAAGTTCCTCCAAGACAGAGAGGCACTGTCTCAAAAGCCAAACTAAACAAACAAACAAAAAAAATTGATCAAAATATAACTAGGTAGGTAATAAACTACATGTATTAGCCACAGGATACCTTTTATATTTGTATGGTAATAGCATCACTAGAATGGAATTATCTGTATTATTACCACTTTTATAAATTGGATAAATGCCTTTGGAATTTTGTTTGCTTATTTATTTAGTTTTGGTCTTTCTTTCTTTCTTTCTTTCTTTCTTTCTTTCTTTCTTTCTTTCTCTTTCTCTTCTTTTCCTTCCCTTTTCTTTTTCTTTTCTTCTTTTCTTTTCCTAATGCTACTGTGAAACCCAGGGCTACCTCATGCATACCAAACAAGTATTCAACCACTGAACTGTACCCCTAGCTCAAGTTGGGTAAATCTTTCAACACTCTGCTTCCAAACCTCCAAACCAAGGGAAAGCTTCCGTGGAATGAGCATGTCAGGAGAAGCTCATGGAGTGTTGGGGGGATCTTGCAGTCAGGTTAAGATTAACAGCTAAAATTGTTTCTCTTTGTCTGGAGATGGACTTCTCCCCAAGACAGAGCTGGATACTTCACTGGCACCAGAAAGTCAGGAAATCTGGTTTCTTAAACCCAGAAAGGTTTTGATTCCAATCAAGGCTTCAGATCTTGCACTTTTGGAGCTGGACCCAGAGCAAGTACACAGAACAGTCACCCCTGAGTGTCTCTGAGAGATAGATGATACCTTAGAGATGCTGAGAACCAGGACCAGGCTGAGGGGCAGTGGACATGTCTCTCAAGCAATGGCTCCATGGTTTTAGCTCATTTCCTTCCTGTGGGGTACAGCCTAGCATATTGCTTGAACTCAAGAATATTTGAGGGATGAGGCTTGACCTATCATGTGGCCATGTAGCATCACAGGCAGAATTAAGTGCCTCCAACTAGGGTGCATGGGCTTCCTCTTTAAAGGGCCTTCAGTCCAAAGTGGAAAAGAGAGAGCATGTATATATCAAAACTTAATTCTTGAGTTGTACAATACAGAAAGATAAACAATAATATGGGCCTGGTGATAATATGAGCTTATTGTGAAGAAATGCCAGCTGGGTATGGGCTTGCATCATAGTCCCAGGATTTGGGAGGCTAAAACAGAAGGATTGCTATGCTACATAGTAAATTCTGGACCAGGCTGGCCGTTCTTAAGAGCACTGGCTGTTCTTCCAAACATCCTGAGTTAATTCCCAGCAACCGCATGGTTGCTATAACCTATAATTTATAATGAGATCTGGTGCCCTCTTCTGGTGTACAGGCACATATGCAAGCAGAGTATTGTATAAATAAATAAGTCTTTAAAAAATTAAAAAAAAAATAAATGAAGTAACAATGCATATCCTGCAAATATCAGGAATGTTAGCAAGGAGCCCTATTTTATATATTAATTCTCTTGATACATGCTGAAAAGCTGCTCCCTGAGTCTGTTCTAACCATCTCAGAATTTCCTTACATTTATTGGTGCATAGTCAGTGGATTACTAACAGGAGCAATGGCCTGGAGCATCACATTGGCATCTATCTATCTATCTATCTATCTATCTATCTATCTATCTATCTATTTATATATTTATTGGTGTCTTTAATGTATTTATTTAATGAGTATTTTGCCTGCATGTATGTATATGTACCACATACATGCCTGGTGCCCATGGAGGTCAGACAAGGGCACTAGACCCCTGAAAGTAGAGTTGCAGATGGATGTGTGCCACCATGTGGGTATTCAGAAATAAACCCAGGTCCTCTTGCAAGAGTAACAAGTGTTCTTAATGAGTGATTTCTCCATCATACCGGCTTTTTTAATCTCATGGATTCTCACTATGTGAAGCAGAAGAGTCAGCAGGGCATGATTCTAGTGGTTTGAGACAGGGGCAGGAGAATTGCTTATCTCCGAGAACTAGTGGCCAACCTAGGTAATATAGTAAGACTGTCTCAGACAAACCAAAAAGAAAGTGTCTTTGGAAAGGCACTTTGTGAAGTCATTGGAGGTGCTGGCGGTCAGGGAAAAAGAAGAGACTCTAACACAAGGTCACAAGTCTTGTTTGGGAGCCAGGCCTTCAAAAAAGAATGGTGCCTCCAACCTGTGGTAGCCCAGGTCAACTAGAGAAGGCTTTGTTCTCTCTCCAGAACTCTACTATGACCGTGGGAACCACCATGAGTTTGTGTCTTTGGTGAAGGACTTGGCTCGGCCAGGAGAGATCACCCAATCACAGGCCTTCGACTTTGAGTTTACTCACGTGGAAAAGCCGTATGAATCCTACACAGGGCAGAATGTGAAGCTACGGTAAGTGGTTTCTGCTGTTTCTGTTGTGCCCCTGAACCTGTCCTGTGGGGGCAGGGCCTGAAGCTTCCTGGCTTTTAAGGGTCTCTGTATAGCTACTAAGAAGGAAGAGCACTGCCAGCAGTGGTGTCAATACTGGGTTCCCTTGGGGCAAAGCCTTCCCATGGCCATCTTTGAGCATGAATGTGGTCACCATGACCTTTTACACATTACCACCCCATGGAGTCCCTCAAGACCAAGGGCTTCATAGACTGTAGGAAAATGATGATGAAGCAAAGGGATTTTAGTTATGTATTGCACTTGTTTCTAAGATAATTCATTTAATTATGTTTATATAATTTAAATCGCAGCTATTTTAAACAACCATTTCTTAAAATTTTTGAAAATCTAGTAATTGGCTTTCATACCTAAGGTGGCTGCAGTCAGACATCCCAGCTTGGTTCACAGAGGTCGTGACCCCTCCCCATCTGGCAGTGTCATTTCGGACTCTGTAATTTAAAGCATTGTTTAAGATTCTAACTCTAGATCTGTCTTCCTCCTCTTTTGGCAGAGATAAGAAAGCAGTGTTACACAGCATAACTGAGCCTTTCAAACATGGACACGGCCAAGCATTCGGCTTAGTGATGCACTTGACTAGCAGTACATCATCTGGGACCCATCCCAGGAGTCATAAATAACAAAGCTAATGAATCCATGAGCTGGGCATGGTGGTGCACCCCTGTAATCCCAGCACTTCAGGAGGCAGAGGCCAGCCTGGTCTTCAAAGCAAGTCCAGACAGCCAAGGCTACACAGAGAAACCCTGACTTGAAAAACTCAAAAAAACAAAAACAAAACCAAAAAAACCCAAACAAAAACAAAAAAAGCCCAGCAGTTCTAGACTCTTGGATGTGACATCACAGGGATGAAGCAGACTTCCCTGTCACTCTGATTACCCTCCTATCTCACAAGATCCACTTGTTTTCACCACCCACAGCCTGGACTCTGGATGGTGAGGATTACAGCAAGACAACATCTCCCTTTCTTTCTTCGGGTTTCCCTCCATCCATCAGAACTCTGTTTATAGACTCTTTTGAAATATTTGTACCTGAATTCCCACTAAAGACAGAGACTCATCCTGTCATTGTGGAGAAAGCCCCAGTGAAGATAATTTAGTAGTCATTTAGCTTGGCTATGGGAATTGTCTTAAAAAAGGTTTTGACAGTCTTGTTATGTAGTCTAAATTGACCTCAAACTTTGCATTCCCCTCCTTCATCTCTTGAGTGCTGGGATTACAGCTGTGTGCCACCCAAGTGGTCAGTATTGGCTCAGGACCCTCAAGACCCAAGTTCTTAGCACAAAGAAGGTGTGTTTGCCCAGTGGGTCAAAGGGCAGGGAATAGGGGACAAAAACAGGAGATTTAGGACTGGGGAGAGGGGAAAGGGAACAAAGGAGTTGGGATAGGGTTATTTGCCCATAGGGACAAAGGATTGCCTCTGGATAGAGAGGAGACAGAAGTGGCCCATAGGCAAACGACAGTTTCTAAAGGTAAAAGGAGAAAACCTGTGTTAGGATGAGGTATTTAATTTTAATTAGGCATATTAATTAGCTGAGCCAAAGGGGGCTTTTGATTTCTAGACCTTAATACTTTGATAGCTGGACTTTGGTGGTCAGCTTCAGGAGGAGAAAATGGCCAAATAAGGGAATAGATCCTGATGGCTAGCATTAACAATGTAATATAATGGTTTTTAGCAAGGCGGAGGGAATTGAGGAGAAGGGCAAGGCCTGTTTGCCATGCTTGAGTTGGCTAGAGTCCCCTCAGCTACCATGCTTGGTAATTCCCACTCCCACCCCAGTAGATTTGCCTTAGTGTTTTTACATCAGGAAGAAAGGTATTGAAAACAATATGGTAGCTCCTCAAAACTAAATAAGCTGAAAGTATAACTTAGTAGGAGCTGCATATGCACATACTTGAAGAATATTCAAGGCATTGGCTCAGTCCCCAGCAACACACACACACATTCATAATTCAACAGAATCACTGTGTGATCCGGCAGTTCCCTTCAGTAGTAGATCCAAAATAATTGGACCCTGAGCCTGGAACAGATAATCTGACACCTGTGACCACAACAGTCATGGTGGCACATGCCTTTAATCCCAGCACTAGAGAAAGAGGCAGGCGATCTCTGTGAGTTCTAGGCCAGCCAGGGCTAATAGTGAGACCCTATCTCAAAGACAAACAGAAAAAAGCTACATTCAATCAGGCATGATGGTATATGCATTTAGGAAGCAGAGGCAGATGAATCTCTATGTTTGAGGCCAGCCTGGTCTTAGCAAGTTACAGGCCACCCAGAACTCTAGAGTGAAACTCTGTCTCAAAACAAAACAAAAATCCCACAACAAAACTATGTTCAGTTGCAGTGGCATACTTATGCCCTAAATAAAAACAGCATAAAACAGAAAAGAATTAGAGATCTTTACTTGAATATTTAGTAGAGTAAAATTCAGTCTTCTACAGACAGCGAGATGGATTTGAGACCTGTGCAATTAGAAAGCGTTAGGGACAAATATCTTGTACAATTTTGGCAGAGGTTACTGAGGGAAATAAAAAGGACAGCCTAGAAGGGGTCAGTGCCACACAGAGTTAGTAGCCTGCGTGTGTAGGTGATGTGGCCAGCATGCCTTTGTTAGCTTTCCAGTAATGCTTAGCAGGTACTTGGATTATTAAAGGATCGCTCAGAAGAAATTATAACTAAGGGGGTTCTTTCTTGAGGGTGTTAGCATAGTAATGTACCCAGGGGACTAGGATGCTGGAAAGGCAGTCCTGAGTGGCTGTTAAACCTTTAGGGTTCACTTATGTATCTTCTTTCAAACCTGTACTCTACCATGCAACTGCCTCCTCCAATTAATTCAGAGATTTCATTGCTACTTTGTTGCATTATATGTAGCTTTGTTCTTAGAGTCACTTTTGTTCTCATAAACCTGAATTACAGTTTTTGAATTATCCATTCCCTATCTTGATTTTTCTGTTTGCTCATCTCCCTATAGATTGGGAGCTTCCCTTGAGATTGTATTGTTCTTCTTCGATGCCTAGCACAGGCTGAGCTAAGAAAGACTACTGAAATGAACACTTGGCTTCATTTCTCCATTTCCTATTCCTCACTTTTATTGGCCAGATATTGTTTAGTGGAGTGTCATGTAAATGTATGGGCTAGATCTCTGTGCTCAGAAAGCCAGGAGTTAGATAAATAAACAAACCCTCCACACAGCCGCTACATAGTGGTGGGGGACATAAAAAGCCTTTAAAACAATCTGTTGGAGTAGAAAGCAAAAAAATCACTCAAAGTTCTTAGTTCATGGTCATGAACTCCCAAATGGATTTTGAAGAAAGGCTTTGATATGTATGTAGGTGCGTATGTATACTTTTTTCTAAAAAAAAAAAAAAAAAAGGCCCATAAATTCTCAAAGAGGTATAAAGCCCCAAAGGGGTAAACATTGCCTACTGTAGGGATCTGCACTCAGGTAGGTCATTTTGTTGTCTCATTGGTGTAGCATCTAGAGTCTGGAAGTATTCACTTGTGATGACTCCATCTCTTACAGCTATTTCCTTCGAGCCACCATTAGCCGCCGCCTCAATGATGTTGTCAAAGAAATGGATATTGTAGTTCACACACTTAGTACCTACCCGGAGCTGAACTCATCCATCAAGATGGAAGTCGGGATTGAAGACTGCCTGCACATTGAATTTGAGTATAACAAATCCAAGTAAGTGTCCTGAGCTACAGCTGCAAAGTAGTACAGTACATGCTAGGCTAGTTATGGATAGATGGGCCATGAAATAGAAGCTACACTTTCAAAGTCAAGCTAAACTAGCTTTTCAGTTGTTTGTTTTGGATGCTTGGTAAAGCCACTTCCTTCCATATGTGAGAATAATCATAGAACACAATGCTGTTATCATTTGTTTGCGCCCTGCCTTAGAAATCAAAGTGAAATCAAAGTGATGAAACCATGCACCGGCAATGGCCTGCTTCCTTCCTGAGTCAACATGAGTTACAGTGCAGAATGCCTAGTGCATTTTTACAAAGGTCTCATAATAACTTTACCTGGCAAGTTGGGAAGCTGTGTTTTAAGTTGTATTTGCTATTAGAACATGAAAATATGTAATTGCTTGTAAACCACAGAATTCTCTGGCACTCCTGCATCTTTCTTTGGAATATAATCTATTCCTGAAAGTATTTGGAGATCAATCCTGAAGTGAAAGGATCATCTACAGTTTTGATTACCCTTCTACAGCAGTGGTCTCCCCCAAGGGAGACCAGGACTTAAGGAGAGCCAATCTGCCTACTACAGCCTTAGGAATATAGAGAAGAGAAAGACTCAACTATGTAGACCAGGCTTGGCCTCAAACTTGTGATCCTGCTTCTACCTCAAAAGTGCTGGGGTTACAGGCGGCATGCCTGGCGGAACAGTTTGTAAACCAGGAGGGTAACTTGACTCCAAGAATAATTGTGAAATAAAGTTACATGTTCCTCTGCTCCCTGGCTTGGAACCTAGTGAGGCCCAGTAAAATAACTATTGTGACCTAAAGCCAGCCCTACTTATCCTGGCCTACCTATTGGGATAGGGAATAGATGCTAGAAAGGAATCCCCACCACCACCACCACCACCAGTCTCCTTACTCAGCTTAGCCCTGTCCACTGATCCTGCAACCAGTACTCTGATGAAGGCAGCAAGCGGCAGCAATGCTGTCTATCTCTAAGAGCCTAAGGCAGCTACTCATCAGTTGCTTTTTGAATTAAAGGTATTTTAGAGTCAATCTAGAAATAGATACTCCTAGTATAGAAATAGATACTCCTGGTCTTACCCTCTCCTTGTATAACAGGTTACACCATAAGGGAACATGAAACATGTTTCTCACATGGGTGTGCTCCTGTGTTAGGTTTCGTTATAGTAAATGGATGCTTCATTTATGAGTATAGATAGAAGACCTTAGCATCCATGTAGCTTCTATATCCCTGAGAAAGGCTGCTGGTGGCGCCCTGCTATACCTGTAGGTGTTGAGTTAGCTGCTCAAAGTCAGTAGCTTTTAGTAGACTGTAAGCAACAGTATAGTAAATGGTGGGGAGCACTGAAGTCTGGAAACTAGGAATTGCCTATTTGAACCCATCACATGCAGTTGAATGATTGAGTCTTTTACAACTTTTTTTCCCCCCATCCATCAAGTAAGGAGGCCCAGGAGGCCCAATTCTGAAATCTCTGCTAAGGGTCACCTGGTATGAGTGTGAGCCTCAGGTTTGAAGAGTGTTCTTTCTGGCACACCTGATACAGGACTGTGTATACACAGACTGCCAGCACTCTTGGCTAGCCCACAGAGAAAGACTGAAAGGGTTGGAAAGTGTTATGCAACATAGCTAAATTCCTAGGAGCTCATGAAGCATAAGTCATGCAAGTAGAGTCCAGAGTGCAAGCAGTGGTGCAGAGGGAGACTGACTTGTTTTGTGCTTCTGCTTCTGGCTGGGCTGCCTAGCCTGGAGCAAACAGAACTATTTACAAGGAAGTGTTAAAGCCCAGTTCCCTAACGACATTGTATGGAGAGTAAAGTGGGAGGAAGAGACTTGATTCCCTTGTTCCTGAGACTGTCTTAATACATTAGAAAAACACATACATTTAAAAAATACTAAAGGTACAGCTGGGTGAGGTGGTGCACACCTTTAATCCCAGCATTCATGATGCAGAGGCAGTGGCTCTCTGTGAGTTCTAGGCCAGCCTGGTCTACAAAGTGAGTTCCAGGACAGTCAAGTCTACACAGAGAATCCCTCTCTAGAAAACAAAACCGAACAACAGCAACAACAAAACCCAGACCAAACCAAAATTAAGGGTGTATCCTGTGGAGACAGAGAAGATAAACAAATATTAATGTTTAAATGAAATGTATCTTCCTTTGAGCAGGATGTGGAAGAAGAGAGTCACACAGATTCCAATAAAGGATAGGAAACTATTCCGATAGTGAGGTTGAGCATACACCTCCATTACATCTCTCACCCTCAGGGCTTTCTAGACAGGGTCCCTCGTTCTGAAACACTACACCACCATCTTACTTCCTCTACCTTCTCTTCTTCAGGTACCACTTGAAAGATGTCATTGTAGGGAAGATATACTTCCTGTTGGTGAGAATCAAAATCAAGCACATGGAGATTGACATCATCAAACGGGAAACAACCGGCACAGGTCCCAATGTGTACCATGAGAATGACACAATAGCCAAGTATGAAATCATGGACGGGGCACCAGTTCGAGGTGAGCCTTGTGGCCTAGGGCCCTGCTACGAATTCCTCCCAGGCCATGTACAGAATTTCATAATTTGGGAAGGGCTCAAATTGTTGAAGTAAAATATCTTTTGTTTTTCTTTTTTGAGACAAGGTCTCACTATATAGCCCACACAGGTGTAGAACTTATGGGAGTCCCCAGCACTCAAGTGAAAAAGAGAGGGAAAAGCTTGAGTCTGTGGAATTTCAGCTTCCTAGTCCATCCACAGCCACACCAGTCCCACACTGGCCTTGTTTATATATTGACTAATACTTAAGATTTCATCTCAGCTGGTCTGCTTGCACATGCCTGTTGTCTCACCTCCCAGGCAGGTGGAGGCCAAGAGGAATTCATTGTCATTCTTGGCTACAGAGAGTTTAAGGTCTACTTAGGCTACAAGAGACCCTGATTTAAGATATATTTGAATATTTAATTGCCTTTTCCTCTTGGCATTCTGACATGTTCTGCTGCTCAGGACACGAGATCAATGTACTCTAGTCATTTTCGTTGCTTAGTTCTAGCTACAGTAAAATGTTTCACTCTAGGAATTCATTTGCCTGCCATGAAAGTGCACCACTAGATTGTCGGCCAATACTACAAGGGCTTCAGACAACAGTAGGAATCACTGGAACCTCCTTGTGCACCACAGGGTCCCTAGGATGAGAAGGCTTGACAGCTCTTGGCTCTTTGGGAATCTGGATGGTTCCTGGGAAATAGCAATCAATTACTTTCTTCATCAGCTTTGTAGCAATCGAGAATGAAGGTCTCCTCTCACTTTGGGTAGTAGTACATTCCCAATGGAAGGAAGATGTCACATTGTGCCGTGCATAATACTGGAGACAGGGCAGATTCATAAGTGTTCACTGTATCAGACCCTCTCACGTTCCATAATCTGACCAGTTGTGCAAGCAGAGCCAACTGTGATTTTTTTCCTGAACAAATGAAATGGGTCACAGAGAAACAGCATAGAAAAGCAGATAATTAAAGATTCATTTATATTTAGCTTAAGATTGGCCTTTCTCAGTAGAATTACTGCCCTCATTTTGTTCCTCTTATTAGAGTATGATAGGACCTAAAATATGTCACTGTATTCTCTGATTTCTCACATGAAAGCTATAGATGTACTCAGAAGTAAACTGGCCCCTGGAGAACAAGGTCCAGAATGAGTTTTCTGTTTTCTGGACTACCCTAGTGCAGATCATTGTTAGAGTGGAGATGTATTCTGGGGCATACAGTAACTGGTTTCCAGGGAGGGATAACTTTTGGAGAGATAGCTCAGTGGTTAGGAATACTCACTGCTATTGTGTTGAGGTCCCAGTACTCACATCAGGCAGCTCAGTCTCTTATAACTCTAACTTTCTTCTGGCTGCCTCAGATACCTGTACACACATGTACATACTCACATATAGATGTAAACATACACATCAATACAAAATAAATCTTTATAAGAAAAACAAAACAAAATTATTTTATTTTTTGAGACAGTTTCTCTGTGTAGTCTTGGTTGTCCTGAACTTGCTTTACAGAGCAGGCTGGCCTTGAATACACAGAGATCCACCTGCCTCTGCCTCCATGAGTTCTGGGATTACAGACCTGCACCACCACACACAGCTTAAAAGAAACATTTTTAAAAGAAAAAGAAACCCAGTTATTAGACTTACTGGCTTACACTTCTAATTCTAGCACCTGGAAGGCCGAGGCAGGGGGATTTCTGTGGGTTCAAGGCCAGCAAGAACCACATAGAGACCATGTTTCAAATGATGAAGAGGAGAATAGGAGGAGGAAGAACACAACCACCACCACCAAGGAACAAGGCACATTACATATACCAAATGGTGTCTAATGTTTCCCTTGTGCCATTCAGCCAGGGTTCCTCACTGCTTTCTGCAACAGGGAGGTAGTAGGATGTTTTGAGCCACAGGAAAGCGGTGGAAACTGCTAGAAAGCATAGAGGGCAGAAGCCTTTTTAGCTGTAGTCTGACCTGCTGCGGCCAGAATGGGGATTATATGACAGTGCCTTTTGTGCTCCTTGCCCTCATTTTTGCTTCACCCCCTACAGGTGAGTCCATCCCCATCAGGCTCTTCCTGGCTGGCTATGAGCTCACACCCACCATGCGGGACATAAATAAGAAGTTCTCTGTGCGCTATTACCTCAACTTGGTGCTGATAGATGAGGAGGAACGACGCTACTTCAAGCAGCAGGTGGGTGCCTCCTCCAGGATCCTGGGTCCCTTTGGGCATAGCACAGAAAGGCCACCATTTCCACAGTGGGCCATCTTGACACTTAAAGGAAAATGCTAAAAGAAAATAGTCAAGCTTCTATCACTTGTTATTATACCAAGAGGTAGAAACACAGGATTGCCTAGAACCCTACAGCAGGAGTGTGATTCCTAGTTGATACCTAGGTTCTGCTTTCTCGGGTCTAACTCCTATTTTTGTGGCTTACACTAGGGACACGGGTATTAGGAGCCACAGCTTTGGTGAGAGATGAGCAAAGGAAGTTATTCCTGGAAATTCCCTGGGACCCAGGTGGGAACCCCTGAGAAAAGCAACCCCAAGCCTCTCTCAAGTACCGTATTACCCCTTCTTCCAACTCTGTAGGAAGTGGTGTTATGGCGGAAAGGTGACATCGTGCGGAAGAGCATGTCCCACCAGGCAGCCATTGCCTCACAACGCTTCGAGGGCACAACCTCACTGGGTGAGGTGCGGACCCCCGGCCAACTGTCTGACAACAACAGCAGGCAGTAGGCCCTTGGGGCCAAGAAGTTGCTGGGCTTCCACCGCAGCACCCATCTACCAAACACCAGCGACTGGGGGAGGGGCGGATGGTGTGAAGCTCAACTGGCCGTTACTTGCAACCTTGAAAACAAATCATGTTTTTTACTTAAATTCTTTTCTCTGAAGAACTTAAGGGGCTTGGGTTGGGCAGCAGTCTCCCTGGGATTCTGCACCCTAGGTAGGGATAGGGACAGGAAACAATCTGGAAGCTAGTCCCTCCCTTGGGAATGAGCTGTCTGTCAAGGCTGTCTCAAGCCTTAAAGCAGAGTTGAGAGCACACATCCTTGGCTCCAGGCGCTCTGGGCTTCCTGACACAGAAGCTGAGTATGTCCTGCCAGCAGGGCTCTGGGTAGTCACGTCTTATGTTCCCTTTGACTGTTTTGAGGTAGTGGCAGAAGTTGTTGGGCCTATTGGGCCTGTCTCATCTAAGTTGGAGGAAGACTCAAGATGAGGAAGCTACCTCTCGGGGCGTCTGGGATGTGGTGTTCTGAAGTTTCCAGTCACCGCTGGCCTCTCACTACTGGGACCAGACACCTCTCTTCTCCATCTTCTGTAGCTTGTCAGGAACCATACAGGAGCAGAAGCCTAAGGAAGGGTCTGGAGCTGACTGTCCTCTCACTTGTGAGAAACAGGGCCATCAAGAAGTCCTGAGAACATGTCATACATGGACGGCCAAGGGGCTAAGCTAGATCTTCTGAGGGGGAAACATCAGGCTAGGCAACTGTCTGCCTTCACCACATGACTCTGCTCGACAGCCCAACGTCTGGGTTGTTCTAGGGAATTATTTTAAATTATCCATGAGCACTAAGCAGAGGGTCTGTTTCCTTTAGTATAGACCCTGAGAAGAGGCTGGATCCATTTGCCTCCCTAAAGAGATCTGTCCTTAACCCTTGCCTCCACTTGATTTCTGGAACTGGCCTTGGTTTCAGGCATGTAGAAGTTTTGTTACTCCCACTCCAAACCCTTTCATCCTACTGTCTACAAGTTAAGGGAAGATGGGCCCCTGCACAAGACCCTGCTACCCTAACTTCAGAATAATTCTGCTTGCCAAATTATGTCTTTAACTTCACCAGTTCACTGGCTCAAGTTTAGGACCACTGGTTTTTTGTTTAATTTAAAAAAAAAAAAATAGGAAAACTCTTGGATACTAGAGAAGAGGCAGTTATCCCTCATGCTCTGTGCTTGGGCCTGCAAGTAATAAAGGGGTTGACTTGTCTTTTCTGCCTTGTCTGGGAATGACCAGGATTATCTTCTGTTGGAAGATCAAGTGGACCTGATGTTCAACAAGTACAGTATGTGCTGGTCTGTGTTCTCTGTGATTTGGAAAGTAAAGGATTTGTTCCTGTGTCATCTTTCAGTTTGTATAGAAAATGGGGACCCCTCTCAGAAGTCAGTCCAATTTCTGACTTTGGTGGGTTGGGGCTAATGGATCAGAGTTCAGATGAGAGACACTTGGGATGACTGGGGATAGCAGAGCTAAGGAAAGTAAACTTTTTTCAATGCCAGACCCCAAGTTTAGGTGTGACATACAATCCCCATGGGAACAGGTTCACCCCTCCAGCTGTCCTTGGATATCAAGGCTGGGCCCTAGCATATGAGGGAGGTAGGTTTTGTGCTCTTGCCTTTTTCAGGGTATGAGACTAGACACTCCTGTGCCTCCTTTTAATATCTCATTAAAAGCATTTGTCAATTTCTCTGCCTCCCAGCTGACAACACAAATTCATTTTCCAACTTTGCTAATATCTTAAGCCTTTCTTAAGAAAGAGAACTAAAAGGTAGAATATGCTTTGTTTCTCTCAGGAGCTGTGCACAAGCCAGGTCTTGTTTTCTCTGACTCTGCCCCCATTTTCTTTCCTCTGCCAACTGTGAAAGTGTGGGGGGACTCCCATCCCCATCCTTTAAGGTTCCCAAACCTGGAGTGCGTAGGTACTAAACCAAGCAGTGCAACTTGTAAGTAAGAAGCTGCAGTGTTTACATGTTTCTTAATGTGTTGTCTTTTCAATGGCTGTATTTTAAAGAACATTTGTTTTAATGGTGTCTCTAATTAAAGGAAGCCCTATGGCTTTGGAGGCATTGTGCCCATGGTCCACTAGATTCTGTGGTCTGTCCTTCTTAACACTGTCTCATCTCTGACACACTGGGAACAAAACATTCAGCCTTACTCCAACACTTGCCTTCTTTTTCAGGGGATGGTAAAAAGTAATGAACACTGTAGTAACCACTCATTTTGGGCAAACATGGCTCAGTTCAGGTTTGTCTGCCAACTTGCCTGAAACCACTCATGTTTTCAATTTAGGTGGGACCCAGAAGACTAAGGCAAGATGAAGAAGACCAAAAGTGTCGTAGAAAAAAAAGACAAGACTTAGGTTTACTGAGTGTTCACAGACCAAGGGATTCAGTCCTATGTTCTGGTATTTACTATATAACTACAGAGGTGGGGACAGGTGACAGTAGAGGTGCCTGCATTTTCCAGTTGATAAAAGAAACCAGTCTTGTCCATAAGACATCTACAGTGGAGGATTCCACTCTATCCAACACAGGGCTACAAGAAAACGCTTTCAACCTTGTCATTAAATCTTTTATTGGGGAAATTAACAAACCACCCATGTACTTGATCCCAGGTAGAAACAGCAAACTTTCTGTCTTATAAAATCTTGACTTTGTAGATCGATGGCTTGTTCACTCCATCAATAGACCCTTCATTAACTTGGTTCTGTTCCTTCCAGGCTCAAAATAAAGTCAAACTCTTCTAAAAAAAAAAAAAAAAAAAAAAAAATGGGAGTTGGGGACTGAAAAGGGAAAATGAGGTATTTATCATCTTCTGCACAGGGAAGTTGATGAAGGGCTATGTGACAAGTTCCTGCAGCAGACATGTGTCCATTCAAAAACTGTGAAATATCTTATTGTACTATCTATAAAGCAATGAGCAACTTAGCACATAGCCATCCTCATGGGTGGCATATGTGAGGACACTGACTCAGTTTAATACTGTCTCCATCTTTAGGTCTTACCTTGAGTCAAAGACTGAACTGAAAGTCTCTGGCGAGTGAACAGAGTCATGCTTTTTAAGGGGCCACCAGTAGCCTTGTGGGTTTGGTGATAGGCTTTAAGTTCATCCAGGGAGATGAAACGCTTCATCATTCGAACAAACTGAACATCCACCTATTCGACAGCATTGCAGGGGACAGAAACATTTTTAGTCAGATGCTGTGCTGAATCTTAAGGAATAGGTCCACTGTGTTGCCTAACTTGTCATTGAATCAGTGAATCAGTTTTCAAGCCGCAGCCTACTGCGTGGCTAAGTCTTGCTTCTGTGCCCACCCAGCGTTTTTACTTTTTACAGGAGTGCCTGGTGTTACAGCTGCAAATATTTTGTTCTGTTATCCCAGCTGAGCAAAACTTCATCTAGCTGAGAGCTGGGTTGTGCTCCTTGACCTGAAAGTACCCCATATTCTTCCTCCTTTTGTCCATTCTCCCCTATGAAACAGGAAGAACAGTTACTACTTACCATCGACCATTTAGGATTGTCCTCTTTGCTGGATGGGTCATAATGGGGACTATTTTTCTCAAATTGTGTGTGGTCTGGATAAGCCTCCTTTACAATCTGAAAACAAATCAAAATCTCCAACCATGTTAGCTTCCTGCCCCAGTTTTAATGTGTCTGACTTTGACTTTCTTACCCTTTACATTCTGACCCTTCTCTCTTCCATAGACAGTTGGTACTCAGACATGTGGAAACAGCAGCCTAAGCAAGCATAGCTCAGAGAGAAGTCCTATTTTTACAAAATATCTCAGGCATGTGCTAAAACTAAATGCTAACAATTACTGTTGGAAATACAGGTTTTTATTTTCTCCCAACTCCACACAGTTTTATCCAGAAACTCTTGAAAAGAGGCACTACCTGGTGGAAACCTCAGAGAGTGGGAAGTATTAGTGGGGCCTGAAATGAAGGCCTTCAGAGTCTAACCTTTAGCACACAGGTATTGGTCAGGGCAGTTTTCCTCACTTTGTGTGACAGGCAGTACAAAGAGGAGTTTATTTTTGTTGTTGCCTACTTAAGCTGTAGCCCTTACACGAAAAAGTCCCTGAAAAGAGAAGTTCAGGCTAAAATGTATGCACCTAACCTTCATAAGTCCCACGATGCCTGGCTGTTTGCAGTTGCTGTGGTAGAAGAAGGCTTCTTCCTCCAACTTCATGGCCCTGAGGAAGTTCCGAGCCTGTGCCAGAGTAGAAACAAGGATTACCTACCTACTGGCTGGGAAGAAAAGACTTTTCAATAGATCTTTTTTTTTTTTTTTTTTTCTGTTTTGCACCTTTTCTCCAATTCATGATAAAGTCTGTCCCTTTGTTCAGAGTCTTAGCCTTGTTCTAGGACACTAGCCAGAAGCAAGTCTCTTGGCAGACTGCAAGCTGTCACAGTGATTATGATATTTCTGAAAACAGTTTCGGATAGAGTTCAAGGAAAAGCAGTGTTGGCTAAAAGGCTCTGCTGTAGAGCTCAGTTAAGGAGGCAGGCATATATCCTAGCATAGGCTTCAGGGTCTCTGCCCCTTGTCTCCTTACCTGATAGTTGCGAACACCATCCCAGCATGCTGTCTGCTTGGGCTGTGCTTTGAGATCCTCGATGCTGAACTGGGCAAGAGAAAGTAAAGTTATTTTATTACTAAATAGTCATTGGCCTTCTGGTAAGCTTCTACAAAAACCAAACTTTTTTTCCATAACCCTGAAGAGTGCTTCAGGCTATAAAGGCGCTAGATGAATTATTGGGGATTAGTTTCCAGGAGCCTCTGATGTTGAATGTAAGTAGCCTTGGGTTTTACATTGTAATCTTTGCTAATCTTAATTAATATTAAGGTTATTAGTTGAATGGATAACCAGGATAATAAAGCAGTCTGCTGGTTCCCTGTGTTTCATTTATTAAAATATTATAATTCTCTAATATTTCTATATTCTTCTATCTCCTATTAAAACCAGCTTATATTCATTACCTGAATATATGGCAACACTTGTCAGGGAGACCTCTACAAGCATGGCAAGTAGTAAGAAAAAATTCAAACTAGTGGCAGATATGGTGGTACATTCCTGTTATCATAGCCCTCCTAAAAATGAGGCAAAGAGGAGCTTAAATTCAAGGGGCACCCTGGGCTACCTCAAAAGTTAGGCCAGCTTAAGCTACATAGTGAGAATGTCTCAAAACCAAATAACAATAGCAGTTAAGTCAAACTAAGATGGACAGTGGCAAATTGAACCATTAGGCTAATTTTATAAATAAAGTTTTACCTGAACATAACCACACCTTTTAATGTATTGTCTGTGGCCACTTTCTAGTTACATGGACAGAGCTGCAATACAGACTATAAAAACCCATTAAATCTCTCTGGCTCTTTGCAGAAAAGTCTGCCAACCCTTGCTTAGTTGGGAAATCCCCCAAACAGGGCCAGGTTGGACACGCCTAATTTTTTAAAAAATTTTTTTCTATCATGTTTCCCCTCTCTTCCCTCCCTCCAATCTCTCCACACACACAGCCCTCCCCCATCTATGCTTCCCTTCAAAAAAGAACAGGCCTCCCAGGGACATCAACCAAACACAGCATAACAAGCTACAATAAGACCAGGACATGCCTAATCTCAATATCTGAAATCCAGAATACTCTGTAATATTCTAACATTCAAAAAGTCATGGAGGGGAAGAGGGAGGGGCTTATGGGGGGGATACAAAATGCATAAAGTGTAATTAATAAAAGTTAAATAAAAAAAAAAGGCTTGAAAAGTATTTAGATGTGGGGTTAAGGATTCAAATTGCAAAATCTAGAATACTTCTGGTACCATGAATTTTAGATAAGGGTTATCCAACCTTAAGTTAATGATAATACTGTTGATTCTATGCTTTTTTTACCTTTTCCTTAGTCTTCAAAGGTGAGAAGCTGATGTCTGAATCCTATGATAAACCACATTCCCTATTTTTTTAGACGCAGTTACATGTGTTGGGGGAAGGATGTGTGATCAGAGCACAGCTTTCAGGTTCTCTCCCTTCATTGTGGGTTCCGGGTGGCTAGGCTTGTATGGCAAGTACTTTCACCTACTGTCCTATCTTGCCAGCATGACTGGACATAGATCTAGCCTCACCTTCATGTCTACACCTTTCTCTAGCCGGCTTTCTGGCTCTGACTTCATCAGCCAGTAGTTGTTTAAATTCTTGCCACAGTTTTTAGAGGCTGAAGTCTTCGGAGGGCTGGAGTTTTCTAGGTTAACTGATGTATTTTCTGAGTTTTCAGTTTTAGTACGTTTTTCTGATAGCTCCTTCTTATCTGCAGTAGGAAAGCAAAGGAAAACATCTGTCACCGTGCTGAGAGGCAATGTTCTATTGTAAACAAAACAAATCAAAACAAAACCAATGTTCATACCTGAACTCGGAACTTAGATTTTATAAACATTAACTGTAGCACCACAATCCCATATATTAGTAACTTCAGCTTTTCTATAAAAACTAGTCAATAACTGCCCCTTGGGAGCTAAAAAATGACATCTTGACTCAGCCACTGAAACCATCAACTCATATCAACTACAACTAGCCGCACTGGACCCACACAAAATAGGCCAACAGTCATCAATGAATGGGGACGGGGCTCACAGGGTACTAACCCTACTGTTAAAATTACTGGCTACCAATAGATTCCAGGAGAGAGGAAGTTTTGTCTTGAGTTTTGTAGCCTGCTGAGCCCAACAGCCTCCCCTACACAGCTCCAAAACTATGGCTTCATAGATGTCCCTGGTTAAACTCAGTAAGTCACAAACCAAAATTAATAGATGTGAATGAGGTTTGTAAGCAAGAAGTGTAGGATACAGATATAGCTATAATAGAATTATGGGAGAGGGTGGGGTGAGAGTAGTCTCAAGGCTAGATAGATAGCTCTGCTTAAGATTCCATAAAAGTTAAGATTCAAGTCCAGTGGTGGTGGTGCATGCCTTTAATCCCAGCATGCAGGAGGCAGAGCAGGCAGATTTCTGAGTTCAAGGCCAACCTGGTCTACAAACTAAGTTCTAGGACTGCCTGGACCACACAGAGAAATCCAAAAACATAACCAGCCAAACAAAAAATAAGATTTACTTAAAAAAAAAAAAAAAAAAAGGTCTGTTTGAATTTTATACATTTGTGAAAGTGTCAAGTTTAATAAATAAAAAAAAGTATGCTCTTAAAGGTTATCTTCTAGATTACTCAGTGAGTCCGATGGACCCTATAGAGTTAAAATAAAGAGTACTGGTAGTAATCAGTAAGTATGCTCTACCTCAATTCTGTGCCTTTAATCAGGCTAATCTTTCTGGTAACACATTGAAGCACTTACTTGAAATTATTTCAATGATTATTTGACAATTCAGAAGAAAGACTTAGGAAATACCTCATTATACATGTTCAGTAAATATTAGCCATTATCATCATTATTGTATACTTTTTTTTCTTGCGTCATGCATGCCTTTTAGGTTCTGAAAGATGTCAAGAGAAATCTGAAAGAAGTTTAATCAGGACCATGTAGACATGGTTAAACAACAACAAATTTTTTTTCCTCTAATGGTGGGGACTGAACTCAAGGGTTTTACAAAAGCATGTTAGACCAGCAATCTATCGCTAAGCTGTATCCCCACCCCTACTTGTTTTGTTTTGATTTTGAGACACAGTCTCAATTTCCAAGGCTGGCCTACAGCTCACTCTTAATTTATAGTCTTTAGCATCAGGCCTGATTTCTTCCCCTTCAATTCCTAAAGATTGAACTTGGGGCCTCAACTACGCCAGGCAGTGCTCTAACACTGAGCTACAATTCCAGCCCTAAACACTGGCTTTTACTAAGTGGATAAAAGAAAATGTGCCTGAGACACGGCAATCACTCAGGATATCAGGTCCCAACCCTAATTTGGCAAATCAACACAACCCATGAGGTTTTCCGCTCATCTGAACAATGTGGTGCAGATCACAATCCTGTCAGGCAGAGAGCATAGCTATGAATTAGTCACAACTGTCAACTGAGTCTGCCTTCACTACAGTTAACTCTACTCCCCCAGAATTTAGTTTGATACTCTATCAGTCTTCATTAAATATCTTGGATGCCTGATGCTCTGAACTTAGCATACCTTAGCATGATTTCCCAGCTGTCCTTAAGAACAGTCATGCTTATGCTTATAGATTGTTGCCTTGTACAGTCATCATCAGAGAGGCTTCCTCAGGCAGCAGGATGGGAATGGAAACATAGAGCTACAGACATTATGTAGAGAGTCTAAATTGGAGCTCTCCATCAGGTCCCTCCCCTCGGAGCTAGGGCAACCCCAAGGAAGAGATAGGAAGATTGTAGGAGTCAGCAGGTTTGGAAGACAGGAGAACATGTCCCACCAAATAAACTAAGCAGAGCTCATATGAGCAGACAGAGACTGAAGCAGCAAGCACAGGACTTGCATGGGTCTACACCAGGTCCTGCATAGATATGTTATGGCTGTTAGCTTGGTGTTTTTGTGGGATTCCTAACTGTGGATATGGTTGTCTCTTTTGTCTGCTCTTCCAACTCTTTTCCTCCTTTTATGTTGCCTTATCCAGCCTCCCCGTGAGAGCTTTGCTTTGTCTTATTGTATCTTATTTCCTCCTGTTTGGTTGTTATCTCTTAGAGGACTAATCTTTTCTGAAGGAAGGAGGGGGAGTGGATGGAAATAGGAGGTAGGGGGAGCGAGGAGGTATGGATGGAGGGGTAACTCTGGTTAAGATGTATGAGCCAAGAATGTATTCTCAATTAAAAAAAAAAAAAAAAAAAAAAAAAAAAAGAACAGGCCACAATAATGTGCTGTAACCTGTCATTCCTAATAGGCCGCTTTTCTACCTTCCACTCTTAATTTCTGCTCTTTATCCACATAGAATTCATTTTTGTGAATGAAAAAATGTTTTCAGAGTTTTAGAATTTTGCTAAAATTCTAAATTTTGGTGGAAAGCCTTCTCATTCTTTTAAGACTGGGTTCAGATTCTGCTACCTTCTCAAGGCATTCCCTGTGATCCGTCCTCTTCCATACTGATGCAAACCTGTCTTAAGGATCTTTTCACTCATGTATGTTTGCATCTTCCCATGGAGAATGTGTGTTTCTTCATTGTTCTCATCTTACAGTCAATTAATTGCCTTTTTCTATTAAATTTTAATTGACAGAGAAAACAAAATTTGTACATATTTAATAGGCTTCAACTTCTATATAGTCTTTCCATACATGTATACATTTTTTAATACTTCATTCAGTTTGAATATACTTCCTGAAGCATATATTTATTTTGAAATAATGGTCTCAGAACTCTGTAGCCCAGGCTGGTCTTCAATTTGCAGCAATCCTCCTGTCTCAGCTTCCCAATCATTTGGATTACAGGTAGGAACCATCACATATTTTTGTCTGTTTTTTTATGAAGATGGAGGTCTCATGTTTATGGTCAAAGCATTTAAAACTGTTCCTGTGTTTCTGAAATGTGCAGTGCATTAACCTCAGCAGGAAACACAGCAAGTGAATGCCTACAACAACCTGAGTTTAACTCACAGCTGGGATTATTACACAAAAGAATTTCAAGGCCAGTGAGAATGAAGCCAGATGCTAAGATTTAAAACTGATCGTGTTGGCCCATGACTGTAATCTCATAACATTAGAGCCTGAGGCAGGAGACTTGCTACAAATTCAAGCCAGATTAAGCTAGAGGTCTGTCTCAAAACAGGAAAGAGGTTTAACATAAAATTAAATACAAGCATTAAGAGATAGGTGCTGATGTGTCAATAGGTAAAGGTACTTACTTCCAAGCCTAGTGATGCGGTTTTTATCCCCTAGGGCCCATAGGATGAGAAAATGAACTCTATTGCACATGGGCCATGACACATACATAAAATCTGATCATCAAAACATAAGATAAGGGCCCTAGAAATGCCATATAGCATACAGGGCTTCTAAGGTTAGCTGTAGTAAGTGTCTTAAAGAGAACTACGTATAAGATTTTGGTGGCCTCTGAAGTTACATTATTCAGGACATTTAAGGTTATGTGAAACACTTTTTGTTGGTTTAGCAAACCTATAACAAAAGCATTTGGCAGTGGGAGCAAAGGATCAAAGGAGCAAAGGAATGCAGGTCATCCTCAGCTACTTAGCAATACCAAATTAACAGGCTTATAAGATAAAAACCTAGAAAAAGAAAACTCTAACTCTGCCTCTGTCTCTCCGTTTTATGTGTGTGTGTAGGTGATGAAAAAGTGGAGTCTCCTGTAGCCCAGGCTGGTCTCAAACTCTACATATAGTCAAGGAAGACCTTGATTTCAACTTTTTTACATTTCACATGAAACCATGCACGACTTTCAGTGCCTAGGTTATTTCATTCAAACGAATGATCTAAGGGCTGGCAAGGCAATTGCTGGTAAAGGCAATTTTTTTACAAAGCCTTTGGACCTGAGTTAAATCCCTGAAATTTGCACAGTGGAAAGGGGATAGTGATTTCTGCAAGTTATCTTCTGACCGTGTGTGTGTGTGTGTGTGTGTGTGTGTGTGTGTGTGTGTGTGTGTAATGTAATTTTAAAAAAGTCTGTTTCCACCTATGTTGTAAAGGATATTTTTACACAAACACACTTGGGAGATAGGGTCCTGCTTATGTAGTACCCACCACTATGTAACCCAGGCTTGTCTTGAACCCAAAGCAATCCTCCAGCCTCAACCTCCCACGTGCTAAGACTAGAGGGGGGTGGGACACCACAGCTCCAGACGTGTATGTATTGCAAACATCCTTAGTGCTTAATAGCTGTTTCTTGAATGAACAAACAAGTGGAAGGGAGTAGAAGTGTAAGTTTGGCAGAAAGAGTAAAGATGATGATAAGCAACAACACTCAAGGTCTCCTTCCAAAACCAGGGAGTGGAAAATAAACAACGCATGCCCCAGAAGAACGCTCTTCACGTGCTACCTTTTGCAGCCTCGGTGGAGCTCACCTGGGCCGGCAGCCGCAGTCAGCCTCTTCCGGGGTCTTGGCATAGTCTTTCTGTAGGAGGCTGAAGATAACCGGACACGCAAGAAGTAACTCTTGTCTTCCAAAACCTGCACGGTGCAAGATGGAGGCAAGGAAGCCTAAAGGGCCTGAGAGTTGTGAAGAAAAATCAAGATTAAGCCATCCTAATCCTTCCCTCCATTTTCTGCACCTAAATGCGCCTCAGTCCCTCCCCGATTCTGCTCTTTCCACCACCATTCCTCTCAACACACCAGCCAGACCCTCGAAGAAGCACTCACTGCCAGGCAGCTCTACAAGGAGCCTGGAGGAGACTAGCGCGCCCCAGCGGGCTTTGTGGAGGACGCAGCTCAGAGGCGCCGCCCGGGGATCTCTGGGAACTGTAGTCCGAGAACGCTAGTAGTCCTTCTAGAGCTTGAACTTTAAGGGCTTGATTGACTACAACTCCCAGAGTGCCACGGTTTGCGAACTACAAGTTAAGAGCCGGGCCAGATGGCCTGGGGTCTGAGACTGGGAGTGTCTGTGGTAATGTTGCGATACAGCTCGCGGCGGCTTGGGTGTCTGCGCCCCGCTCTCCGGTTCCTGACTCGGACCGACCACCGGAGCGTCACTTTCTGCATCGACCGTAAGACTTGTCTGGGCGAGGGGAGAGCGGGACTTTGATGGGCATCTGTGTGGGTCCGAGTTTTCAACAGCTTTGCTGGCTCTGGCCTCATTCTGACACATCCACCGACCTCCTCGGTCCAGGCCTAGGGTCTCTTAACCGACTCACTTTGTCCTCATAATCTACCTTTCCCGGACCCGCTTCTCTCTCCCCAATCAGTCCTGTCCCACTAACTTCCTCCCTTAACCCAGGATCTGTTCACGGCCAGCTCCGTCGGTCCAGTCCAGTGTAGTGCTCGCTCCCCTTCCCCAGCTCCGGCCTATGCTTTATAGAGGTGAAGGAGCAATAGAGTCCCAAGACAGCGAAAACTAAGAAATGGGGGCTGGTCGAGATAGATGAAAAGCTCCAGTTTATATCAGGTGTTCCGCTCACAAATACAGGTTTCATAACTTATAATTAAAAGATACTCTGACTGTAGAAACTGCTGCAGGAGAGGAACGATAACCGCAATTGATAAACCCTACCAGAGATTACAAACTGATTGTTTAAGAACCTGGCAGAATTTTGAATGTAACAGGGAGTGTTTGCCACCCACACAGACCAAGACAGTTTGTGAGGTGTGTCAATCACTTAGAATAAAACCACTTTTTCTAATGAAACAATTTTTAAAAAATTCTTTGTTTACTTAAAATAAGTATCCATTGTTTATGGCGGTAAGACCTTGGCAATTGAGAATAGATTTATAAAGTACACTTAGGCATAGAAGACTGTTTTATGTAGAAGACCAAAGAAAGACGATTTTAAGAGGCACTGCCCTGCTTACGCAACTAGAACTGAGTAAACAAGTAACCCGGTTTGATAGCAAAGCTAGTAAAGAGTGTGTCCCAAGACCAAATGTACAAAATGTACCAAATGTACAGATGTACAGTAGATGGTGGTTGAGTCTTGGGCAACTAAGATACTTGAGACAGGGTTTCTTTGTGTAGCCTAGGCAATTCTGGAACTAGTTCTATAGATCAGGCTGGCTGCCTGCTTCTGTCTCTGCAGTAATGGGGTTAAAGGCATGTGGCACCACCAGCCAGCCCTTTTTCATTGTTTTAAATGAAGGTATTAGAACTGGCCACCTAGCTCAGTCAGTTTGAGTCCTTGCCTAGCATTTTCATCCATGAAGCCCTGGATTCCATCCTCACACTAACTAAACCTGCCAGACCTGCCATGGTATATGCCTGTAATCCCTTAAGTTTTTGTTGTTTTCTGGGAATTGGGGTGTTTTTATTTAGATACAATATAATTTACTTTTGCTGTTGTTTTTTTGAGTTAGGCTGTTACTATATAGACTAGGCTGTTCTTGAATTTGCCGTGCAGTTCAGTCTGACCTTGAATTCATGATCTTCTGCAACCTATCTAAAGCTGGGATTACAAACATGACTTTATGCTGGCTTCAATTTACTATTTAACTTGCCGTCTACTTTTTCTTTTTTCCTTTTTGGTTAATGTAGCCTCAGTTTACAATGGGCTGTAACAGTAAGTTTAGAGAAGTTGCTGACTTACTGAAATAATTATTTTATTATTATTACCATCATCATCATTATTATCTGGATTTTTTTGAGACAGGGTTTCTCTGTGTAGCCTTTGCTGTCCTGGACTCGCTTTTTAGACCACGCAAGCCTCAAAGTCACAGAGAACTGCCTGTCTCTGTCCCCTGAGTGCTAGGATTACAGGCATGTGCCACAGCTCCCGGCTTATTATTTTTTTAGACAGGGTCTCTCCATAAGTGACCTGGAACTTACTATGTAGACCAAGCCGGCCTAAAACTCACACAGATCCTCCTGCCTCTGTCTCCCAAGAGCTGGAATTAGGCTTGCACCATTACTCCAAGCCTTCATTAATCATTTCTGAGCCAGAGCTCAACAGCTTGGTTTGTCATAGCTGTCAGGCACTCCTGGAATACCTGGATTCTCAGGACCATTGTTTCTCTGGTTAACTTTATTTCATTTGAAGATGCAAATGAAATAAGTGTTTGGGGCACTTTACCTTTTGCTAATAATAAAAACTTCTCTATTTTTTTTTTTTTTTTTTTTTTTTTTTTTTTTTTTTCAAGACATGGTTTCACTGTGTAGCCTTGGTTGTCCTGCACTCACTTTATAGTCTCCCAGTTCTTTTGCAGATGAGCATTAATCTATGATCTGTAACAGCACTTGTACAAGTAAGCATGGGAACATGGCCTGACACTTCCTCCAGCAAGAAAACCATGAATCTGTTGTCCCACGCCGTATTCCTAAGAGTGATACCCTCAGGTTTCTGGTGTAGGTCTCTTGGGGAAGCCTTTTCTAGGATCTTCACAGCTTTTCCTCTCCTACTCCCCTTTTGAGACAGGGTTTACTGTGTAACCATGAATATCCTGGAACTCTCTGTGTAGGACGCACTGGCCTCAGACTCAAGAGAGGCACCCACCTTTGCCTCCTGCATTTGGGGATTGAAGGTGTGTACCATCATGCTGGGCTTTTACTAAGAGTGATGCCCAGATCTTCCCCAGAGGAACAGACTTAGCCACCAACACAACTGTGCTATGGGAAGAGCTGTGCATAGCTAGCAGGCACAAAATGTAAATTATTGAGGTGAATGACTCGTACTTTTCCTTTAAGTCTATATCTATACCACCTCAGATATGCCCCATCTCCTCCTCAGAGTTTTTCTTCAGTACCCATTAACATTAGAGTGACCAAAGTTTTAGCATTGAAGACCGTACCTTATCACATAACGGCAGAGTATCTTCATACCTGCCTCCTCTCTTTCATAGCCATCATTGTACTCTGCTTTTTACTAGGGCCTCTAAGTGTAGGCATGCAATCTTTCCTTCTTATAGTTTGCACCAGCACACCTAAAGCTGTGGTTCTCACAGTGAAAGAGAAATGAATGTGAACAGTGTAGGCTTGTTCAGTCCTAACAGGTTGCTGGTTCTGCTGCAGTGCCCTGGCTTCTGGAATCCGTTCTGCCTTTTCAAGTCTTAAAAGATCATTGCTTTTCACAAGAGTTTCACTTGCATTCTTTGCTTTCAGTGTCTACCCTGTCTCTGTGGAAATCTGCTTCATCTTAGAAAGTGGAAAACACTCCAGGTTTTCCTGATTAGCTAGTTGATAGATAGTCCTGTTTTTCAGTTCAATCCTACCTTCCTTACTGAATATGGTCTTTGTAAAAATTCCGTTTTACTGGTAGAGCACTAGATTACTTACATTGGTTAGGTAAGTAGTGTCTCCTACTATTTCCTCTGCTGAAAGTATATATAGTCTTTGTAAGCTTTATGAGTTTCTAGAAGAATTTTTCATCCATCTATCCTATTTGTCTGTCATCATCACTTTGCCAGTTCATTCTCCTAATTTATCTCATTCCAAGTAATGAAGCAGTTACCCAAAGTTATATCACTAGTGGTTAAAACAAAACTGTCTAAGAACACAACTTCTCTGTTGTGTTCTGTTTCAACTCAAGAAAGGTGTTTTGTTTTTTTAAATCGTTGTTATCCACAGGTTAAGCCTATGTATACAGATTGATTTCTCAATTGATGTTTTAAAGGGAACGTGTTGGTGGAAACAGTGGCTGCTGCCAAATATACAGAAATGGGATGGGAAATTTTTAAGGAATTTATGCAGAAAAGCTAGGAAAGCCCATCAGAAAACATGTCATTTGAGGGCAACTTTTTTTTTAAATTTCTGTATTTTTTTGTTTGCTTTGTGTTGCGGAGCTTGAACAGGGACTTCAACTAGGCAATGCTTTGGTTTGGATTGTGTCCTTAACCTTTCATTTTGAAAAGCCTGCTGACCTACTTGGAATTAAAGGAAGAATGGTAGGCCAGCAAGATTACTTAGTGCAGGTAATGGGACTGAGCCTGATGACCTGAGTTTAATCCTTAGAACCTACTCCCTAAAGTTGTCCTCTGACTTTCACATGCATGTACACACACACTCACACACGGAGAGAATAAATAGATAATAAATAAAATCACATGGTTTTAAAAGGAATAGTGATGGTATTTGATAAGTTAGTATCTTTATGCATCTTGTTCTTCCCACTTTGATTCTTTTTGCATCCTGCTTCTTCCCCATTGTGTTCCCTGATGCCACTATCTATTTAGGCTATGACTTTGTCTTACTAAGGGACCAAGGAAGAGATTTCTGGGAGTTGCCTTGTTTTATCTTAGGATAGTATGGCTAAGTGCTAGAACTATGCTTTCTTTTCCTTTCCCGGGGAAACTGATGATGATCCTGGCACTGGAATAGCAGAGGCAGGATAATCACGAGTTTGAGGCCAGCCTGGACTAGAGCATGAGCCTGTATCTCAAAAACAAACACAAAGAAACACATAATATATGGCATGTTATGTAGGAGATTGCTCTGAGGCACTCCTTGTTAGTGAAACTCTTCTCTCATTTTCATCCTAGAATTCAATATGTCTGGTTTTGTTCACAGCTTCCTTGGGACTAAATGAGGAACAGAAAGGATTTCAGAAAGTGGCCTTTGACTTTGCTGTTCGGGAAATGGCTCCCAATATGGCAGAGTGGGATCAGAAGGTAGGAGTCTTCTTGTGGCTAGTGTTCCAACAGATGTTGCACATAATGACTTACTTTTCTGTCCTTTAGTCAGAACTTCTCAGTGTCTGTTCTCCACTCATTACCTTTTACTGCATGTGTGAAAGACTGGTGGTAGATGTGCTGGATAGCTTTATGTCAACTTGACACAAACTGGAATCATCAGAGAAGAGGGAGCCTCCAATGAGAAAATGCTTCCATAATTAGTCACTGATGTGGGAGGGCCTAGCCCATTGTGGGTGGGGCCACCTCTGGACTGGCCATCCTAGGTTCTACAAGAAAGCAAACTGAGAAAACCAGTAAGCAGTATTCCTCCATGGGCTCTGCAGCAACTCCTGCCTCCAGGTTCCTGGCCTCTTGAATTCCTACTGTCACTGCTTTTGATGGTGAATGGGTACATGGAAGCATGAGTGAAATAAACCCTTTCCTCCCTAACTTGCTTTTGGTCATTGTATTTCATCTTAGCAGTAGTAACTCTGACTAGGACAATAGATGACTCCTTTCATAGAAGTCATCCCAGATGTCATGTAGATGCCCCTTTTCTTTTTTAATTGAACAAAGATTTAGATATACTTAAAATGAAAGCAGTTCTATAGAAAAAAAATTTGGAGAGCATATGTTAACTGATAACACTATAAAATAACAAGAGCCTTTGAAGCTAAGAGAATTCTCCCAGGTGCAGACATCCTCATACCTTCATTGTCCCCTCTAAAGGAACTCTGTTTCTAAACTGGTCTTTGACCACCTTGCTCTCTTTTCTGTGTAGGAGCTGTTCCCTGTGGATGTGATGCGGAAGGCAGCACAGCTGGGTTTTGGGGGGGTCTACGTACGAACAGATGTGGGTGGGTCTGGACTGTCTCGCCTTGATACTTCCATCATCTTTGAAGCCTTGGCCACAGGCTGCACCAGCACCACTGCCTATATAAGCATCCACAAGTGAGCATCCACACAAAAGCACGGTGAAGGGTTGTGCACACATGGGCTGGTAGGGAAACTTCAGATCTGGGAGAAAAAGATGAATCATGGTGGGTTGATAGTGCTTGAGAAACTAAACTGTTGTACACAGTAGGTCTGCTGCCGCCTGCTGGATTTGGTTCTGTTGTCTTCGATGATAATATGTAGAGAATTGTTTCTACCTACCTTTTCCCAAATTTCCAGTTTTGGTACCAGCAGATTTCTCTATTTTTCCTCAGTCTACAGCTGAGAAAATTTGAGAAAGTAATAGGAAAAAATCTCTGATTTTTTTTTGACTCGTATAATCTGAGAAACACCTGGGCTTCGGGGATAAGTATTCCAGGAATGTTTGTAAACCAGTCCCTTCCTTTCAAGCTAAGTCATCTCATTTGTCTCTTCTCCATTTTCACTCTCTTCTGTTTTTATTCTGCCTTGTTACCCATTGTTTCTTCTCTATTTTTATTTCTGTCAATGGCTTTTCTTCTTGGTGTACCTATCAGCATGTGTGCCTGGATGATTGATAGCTTTGGAAATGAGGAACAGAGGCACAAATTTTGCCCGCCGCTCTGTACCATGGAGAAGTTTGCCTCCTACTGCCTCACTGAACCAGGTGCGTTTGTCCTCCTTGCAAGTGAGACCTAGAAAGGAGAGAAGTGAGACCTTTGTGCTTACTGAACAGCCTGGCACATAAAATGGTTTACAAAGCAGTCTGACTGCGGAATATTTACGGTACTTTTCCCAGGTCCCAGGGCCTTTAGGTCATAATTCCTCCTGCCTGCAGACCACTGTTAGCTGGTTTGTGAGAGAGACAGTGGGCAACTTGGTGCAAGCAGTGTTTACCCAGTTTGAAGAATTCCATGACTGTGTGGAGTTTAAAGTAGTGCATGATGGACTTTCTAAGGAAAACCTCCTCAGATGTGGAATTGTGCTGGGCTCCTTTGGCTTCACTGATGAACTTCCGTTTGGTCTCTTTTGACCCTTGCCTCAGGAAGTGGGAGTGATGCTGCATCTCTTCTGACCTCAGCTAAACGACAAGGAGATCATTATATCCTCAATGGTTCCAAGGTAAGAGCATGTGTTCCCAGAGCAATTGGAGGCAGTTCCCGTATGCCTCCTGACAGCCCTTGGTTCCTTGAGTCTATGAGTTAATATTTTTATATAAGAGTTTACATTGGTAAGAGGATCTCAGTGCTGGTCTTTTATGATTGAGTCTAATTGTATAAATTTTTATCTTGTTTATATTCTTTTATTTATTCTCTCATACAGTACATCTCGACTATATCCTCCTGTCCATCTATTCTTCCCAGTCCCATCCTGTCCTTTCCCCAAACCCCACCATCTCCTCTCTCTCCTAGATCCTGTGTTCCTCCTTTTCCCTTCAGAAAAGAGCAGACCTCCCAGGATATCAACTGAACACATCTTAACAAGATGCAAAAAACTAGGCACAAACCCTGAATGAGGTAACCCAGTATGAGGAAAGGGTCCCAAGAGAAGGCAAAAGAGTCAGAGAGATACCCCCACTCCCACTGTTAGGAATCCCACAAAAACCCCAAGCTAAACAACCATAACATATTTACAGACGACCTAGTGTAGAACCACGCAGGCTCTGTGATTGCCACTTTAGTCTGTGTGAGCCCCTATGAGCTTTGCTTAGTTCTCCTGGGGTCCTCAACCCCTCTGGCTCCTACAATCCTTCCTCCCTCTCTTCCAAGGGGCTTTCCAAGCTCTGCCTAAGGTCTGGCTGTGGGTCTCTGTATCTGCTCCCACCAACTGCCAAAGGAAGCCTTTTCCGGCAGAATATCATTAGGGATCACTTTGTTTATTTATTTATTGTCAGTCATGCTTGGTCCTGTCCTAGGTCTCTGGCTATCCTGGCCATCCAGACAGTGTCAGGCATGGGCTCCCTCTCATGGCATGGTATGGGCCTGAAGTTAGAGCAGTCATTCGTTGTCACTCCCACAAGTTCTGCTCCACCATTACCCCAGCACGTCTTACAAACAGGACAGATTGTAGGTCAAAAGTGTTATGACTTGGAAGTCTTACCTGGTTACAGAAGGACAGTTCAGGCTCCTTATTTTTCATTACTAGGAATACTCACTAGGGCCATCCTTATAGACTCCAGGGAGTTTCTACTGCACTAGGTTTCTACATCATCCTCCAAAAGCTCCCCTATTTCCCAACTCTACCCACCCCCAGGCTACACACAAAATTTTTGTATTTCCCCTTCCCAGGGAGAGCCTTTCGTCCCCCTTGATCTCTTCTTGTTACTTGGCTCTTCTGGATCTGTGGATTGAAGCATGATTATCCTTTTTCTTTACAGTTACTATCTACTTATAAGTGAGTACATACCATGTTTATTTTTCTGGGTCTGGGCCACTTCACTCAGCTTGATTTTTTTTCCCTAGTTCCATCCATCTGTCTGCAAATTCATGATGTCATTTTTTTAACAGCTGAGTAATATTCCAATGTATAAATGTACCACATTTTCTTTACCCATTATCCAGTTGAGGGACATCTAGGTTGTTTCCAGTTTCTGGCTATTATGGATAAAGCCACTATGAACATAGTCTAGCAAGTGTCCATGTTAGAGGGTCTTTGGGGTATATGCCCAAGAGTGGTATAGCTGGGTCTTGAGGTAGACTAATTCGAAATTTTCTGAGGAACTGCCATATTAATTTCCGTAGTGGTTGTACAAGTTTGCACTCCCACCAGCAATGGAGGAGTGTTCCCCTTGCTCTACATCCTCACCAACATGAGCTGTCACTTACGTTATTGATCTTAGCCATTCTTATAGGTGTAAGGTAGAATCTCAAAGTCGTTTTGATTTGCATTTCCCTGATGGCTAAGGATACTAAATGTTATTTTAAGTGTTTCTCAGCCATTTGAGATTTCTCTATTGAGAATTCTGTTTAGCTCTGTACCCCATTTTTTAGTTGGGTAATTTGGTTTGTTGGTATCTATTTTCTTGAGTTCTTTTTTTAAATCCACCTTTAAAAAAAGATTTATTTATTTATATGAGTATTCTATTTGCATATATGTTTGCATGACAGAGAGTTCACCAGATCCCATTGTACATGGTTGTGAGCCACCATGTGGTTGCTAGGAATCAGGTTACTTTGGATATTAGCCCTCTGTTGCATGTGGAATTAGTGAAAATCTTTTCTCATTCTCTAGGCTGCTGTTTGGTCTGATTTATGGTATCCTTTGCCTTATAAAGGCTTTTCAGTTTTGTGAGTTCCCATTTATTAATTGTTGGTCTTAGTGCCTGTGATATTTGTGTTCTGTTTAGGATGTTGTCTCCTGTGCCAGTGTTTTTAAGGCTAGTCCCTATTTCTCTTTATTAGGCTCAATGTACATGGCTTTTATATTAAGGTCTTTGATCCACATAGACTTGAGTTTTGTGCAGGTGATAAATATGGATCTGTTTTCATTCTTCTACATGCAGATATCCAGTTAGACCAATATTTGTTGAAGATGCTTTTTCCTTTTCATTGTTTATTTTTGGCTTCTTTATAAAAAATCAGGAATGCATTGGATGTGGATTTATGCTCGGGTCTTCAGTTTGTTTCTGTTGATCAACCTGCCTGTTTTTTATACCCAAACCATTTGGTTGTTATTATTATAGCTCTGTAGTGCAGCTTGAAATCATGGATAGTGATACCTCTAGAAGTTCTTTTATTATTCAAGATTGTGTTAGCAGTCATGTTTTGTTGTTGTTGTTTCATATGAAGTTGAGTATTGGCCTTTCAAGTAAAGGACAATGAAGTAAAATAAAGCATCAAAACTGGAATTTTGATGGGGATTGTGTTGAATCTGTAGACTGCTTTTGGTAAGATAGTAGTGAAAGGGTTAGACTAACTTTGTAACCTGTATGTCTTCTAAAGCCTATAGTTTTGAGTTTTAGGTTCAGGTTAAGCTAAAGCCTCTTAGTACCTTTCCAGAGAATGGAAAAATGTGACCCTATCTATGAGGACAGATAGAAAAAAAGGCAAGCAAGCAATGACCTTCACTCAGCAAAAAGAAAAACTCCTGTCTTTGAGATAGCATTTCTTAGCAACAAACCTAGACTTCTTCTGAGTAGCTTTTGACCTCCAGCCAAAAGTCTGTAGCCCCTAATCTTCAAGGATGAGCTAACCACCCCCACCTTCAATTGCAGCTGCATCCACACTTGGCAGGACTGGCCAAGCTTGAGCACCTAAGACTAACCAATTATTTTACTTTATAACTTCCTCATCCAATCCTAAATTGCCAAAACTACAACTTCAAATTTCCCACAATTTTTCTTTTAAAAACCTAAAGGCCTTTGTCTCCCGGTGCCACTCTTTGCTGACCAGCAGGGGTGACCCCATTGCGCAATGGTTAATAAACCTCTTGCTTTTGCAACGAGTCTTGGTCTGGGGGAGTTTCTGAGAAGGGCGCGATCTTAAACTCCTGAGCTGTGAGACCCCAGGTCTTACAGTAGGGTTAATTCTATTGATCAATGAGCATGGGAGATCTTTCCATCTTCTTATATCTTCTTGTTTTGTTAGTTTAGAGACTTGAAGTTTTTGTCATACAAGTCTTTTTCACTTGCTTGGTTAGAGTTACCCCAAGATATTTTATATTGTTTCTGGCTATTGTGGAGGGTCTTTTTTCCCTGATTTTTTTTTTTTTCCTCAGTTCACTTGTCATTTGTACATAGAAGGGCTGCTGATTTTTTGTTGTTGTTGTTTTGAGTTAATCTTGTTTCTAGCCACTTCTTTTTATCAGCTGTAGGAGTTCCCTGGTAGAACTTTTAGTGTCACTTAGGTATACTATCAGTGTTATGAAAAGTATCAGCTCAGGACACCCAAGACCAAGTTCTCAACACAAAGGAGATTCATTTGCTTCAGAGGGACAGAAAGCAGAGAATAAGAGACAAAAACAGGAGGTAGAGGATAGAGGCAAAGGGACCAAAGGTAAGGGGGGAGTGGTATTTGTCCTAGATGACAAAAGACTGCCTCTGGATAGAGAGGAGACAGATGTGGCACATAGGAAAATGGTGGTTTATAAAGAAAGGTACAAGGGGAACCCTGGTGTTAGGATGAGGTCTTCACTTTAATTGGGCGTGTTAATTAATTAGGGGAACCAAAGGGGGTTTTTGATTGATCAATTTCAATACTTTGGTAGCTGATCTTAGTAGTCATCCTCAGGAGGAAGAAATGGCCAAATAAGGTAATAGACCTTGGTGGCTAGCATTAGGAATGTAATCTAACAGTTTTTAGCAAGGCAGAGGGAATGGGGGGCAAGTTCAGGGTTTGCCAGAGCCATGCTTGCCATGTGAGCTCACCAGAGTCTCTTCAATCAGATCATCTGCAAATAAGAATACTCTGATTTCTTCCTTCCAAATTTGTACCCCCTTGATCTCTTTTTGTTACCTTACTTCTCTAGCTAGAACTTGAAGTACTTACTATATTGAATAGGAATAGAGAGAGTGGACCACCTTGTCTTGTTCCTGATTTTAGTGGAGTTGCTTTGAGTTTCTCTCCATTTAATTTTGTTGGCTATCAGGAGTGCTTGTAAGTTGCCTTTATTATGTTTAGGTATGTGTCTTATATTCCTGATCTTTCCAAGAGTTTTATCATGAAAGGATGTCAGATTTTGTCAAAGGCTTTTTTGGCATCTAATTAGATTATCATATTTTCCTTTTTTTTCTTCCATTTTATTTTTATGGTGGATTACATTTACTGATTTTTGTATGTTGAACCATCCCTACATCTCTGGAATGAATCCTTTTTGATCACAGTGACAGTGAATGATCTTTTTGATGTGTGCTTGAATTCAGTTTGTGAGTATTTTGTTGAGTATTTTTGCATCTGTGTTCATAATGGAAATTGGTCTTTTAATTCTCTTTCTTTGTTGAATCTTTGTGTGGTTTGGGTATCAGAGTGACTGTGGCCTCATCAAATGATTTTAGCAATGTTCATTCTGTTTCTGTTCTATGGAATAATTTGAGGAGTGTTGGTATTAGCTCTTCTTTGAAAGTTTGGTAAAATTCTGTGCTGAAACCCTCTGACCCTGGTATTTTTGTTTTTTGTTTTTTTCTGGTTGAAAGACATTTAATCTGTTTCTGTTTTCTTAAGGTGATAGTTCTATTTTAACTGTTTATCTGATCTTGATTTAACTTTGGTAAGTGGTATCTATCAAGAAAAGTATCCATTTCTTTTAGATTTTTCCATTTTGTGGGAAACAAGCTTTTAAAGTATAACTTAATGATTCTCTAGATTTTCTTGGAGTCTATTGTTATGTCTCCCTGTCATTTCTGATTTTGTTAATTTGGATTTTCCCTCTCTGACTTTTAGTTAGTTTAGATAAGGCTTGGTCTAGTTGATTTCCTCAAAGCACCAACAGTTTGTTTCATTGATTCTTTGTATTGTTTCTATTTTATTGATTTCAGCCTTTGGTTTGATTATTTCCTGCCATCTACCCCTCTTTGGTGTCCTTGCTTCTTTTTGTTCTTGGGCTTTCAGGTGAGCTGTTAAGTTGCTAGCATGAGATCTCTCCGATTTCTTCCTGAAGGCACTTAGTGCTATCAACTTTCCTCTCAGCACTGCCTTCAATGTGTCCCACAAGTTTGGGTATTTGTGTCTTCATTTTCATTGAGTTCTAGGAAGTCTTTCATTCTTTTTTATTTCTGTCCTGACTCAGTAGTCATTCTCATTCAGTAGGGAATCAAATAGAGAGCAGAGAGAGCTGGGGATAGTGTTGAGGGTGGGGCCACCAAGAGAGTGCAGGAGGTCTTCTGGTGGCCTGCCTGGAATCCTGGTGATGGTGTGACCGCAGGTCCAGCAGGGAGTTCGCCACATTAGTTGGGGGCTGGAATATGGTGATGAGGAGTGCAGGGACATTGGAGATCGTATCAGAGTGGGGTGCACCGAAAGAGTGGAGGAAGTAGCCTAAATGATCTTCTGGCAGGCATGGCCTCTGGTTGGGCAAGGTGTCTGCCCTCGTTTTTATTCTCCTCAACTAAATCCCTGATTCTATAGGCACTGTGGGAGCCATGTACCTTTTACCCCATCCTCTGCATTGTTATGCCTTTGTTATATTGTTGGGAGTCTCCCAGTCATTTCCCCAGTTGTCAGGTTTAGAAATCATGCATTCCATGAACCTCACACATCGCCTCTCTACCCACAGGCCTTCATCAGTGGGGGTGGTGAGTCAGACATCTATGTGGTAATGTGCCGAACTGGAGGATCAGGCCCCAAGGGTATCTCCTGCATAGTTGTTGAGAAGGGAACCCCTGGCCTCAGCTTTGGCAAGAAGGAGAAGAAGGTGAGTCAATTACTCAACTGTAAACAATTCAAGTTATAAGTCTCTGCCATCTGTTAGACCAACTCCTGCCCTATTTCATGGAATAGGTCTACGAGTGGGTATAGAGCAATGAAGTCATTGTCAAAGAAACAGGCTCCAGGGAAAGAGACAAATTTGCTGGCTGGTTTCATAAGCTATTTAAATTCTCTCTCTTTTTTTCTGTATTTCTTTTTCTCTTTGTAGGCCTGTGTTTATATGCATGTGTTTGTGAGGAGTTGATGTTGGATGTCTTCCTCAATTGTTCTTCACCTTATTTTCGGTCAGGATCTCCTTTAGTTTAATTCAGTTATTTTAATTTAATTGTTATTGTTTTTGAAGCAGGGTCTTACTAGGTAGCCCTGGCTAGTCTCACTATGTAGGCAAGGCTAGTTTCAAACTTACAGATACCCTCTGCCATGATGACTGACCAGACAGCATTTCCTAATGAACCTGGAACTTGCCTGTTCAGTGAGACTGACTGATAAGCAAGTCCGAGGGATCATGCTATCACCACCTTCCCAACTACACCTGGCTTTTTATGTGGGTGCTAAGGATTGAACTTGGATCTTCGTGCATGCATGGCAAGCGCCTTACCAATTGAGCCATCGCCCCAATTTTTCTCCTATAGCTTTTAGCCAGCTTTTACCATACTTTGTTATCCCAGAAACATACAAAGATCTGATGTTTGTCAGAAGTCTCAGGAATAAAGGCATATAAGATACTTTTCTTTTCTAACAAAAATAAAATAAAACAAAACTCATTGGCAGGGAGGGCTGTAGGTATTTCAACCATCTAAGGTCAGTGTTTCTATAAGTACTTTGAAAAATAAGATTCTTCTAGGATTAAGAAACCCTACATAGAGCTGGAGAGATGACTCAGCGTTTAAAAGCACTGGCTGCTCTTCCAGAGGTCCTTAGTTTAATTCCCAGCAACCACATATATCTATAATGTGATCTGATGCCTTCTTCTGGCATGCAGGTATACATGCAGATAGAGCAGTCATATACATAAAATATATAAAATCTTATTATAAAAAAAACAAAAACAAGAAACCCTATATGCAGGTGGTGAACAGGAAATGCAATAATGTAGTTGCTGATATAGTCAGGACCCATTGAGGTTTTTTTAAAGACAGGTGATGAAAACAGAAATACAGTTGTCCTTAGATTAGGGCTTTTGGGGATAAGTCAGGTGTGAAATAACTCCTAAATACCTCCTATATTTCCCGAGGGTTTCCACATTTTTCGTCATGATGCTTTCTGGCCCTTAACAGTTGTCAAGGGCCTATAGGTTTGGTACCTCCTCTCTTTTGTAGCATAACAGTCATTTGTTAGATGCCTACAGTGTTCAAAGCTGTATGCTATCTCCTGGGAAGATACAGAATCCTTAGTCATTCCTAGCCCTATTTGGACTTAAAAATACATACAACTTTATCTGTATAAAATTTCTACAGCTGGGCATGCTGGTGCACACATGCGATTCCAGCATTCCGAACACTGGGCAGTAAGGTTACAAGTACTAAGCCTGCCGGGCAGCATGTCACACACAAACACCCATGCATAGTTATAATAACAACAAAAAATATTTGCCTAATTGCAGAAGAAAAAAAAATGGTATGTGGGTAGCGTTGCAAGAAAGGTGCTGAGTCTTTCAGTTAGCCTATTTAACAATATTATTGAGAGGTTTTTGGTTTTGGTTTTGGTTTTTTGAGACAGGGTTTCTCTGTATAACCTTGGCTCTCCTGGACTCACTTTGTAAGACCAGGCTGGGCTTGAACTCACAGAGATCGCCTGCCTCTACCTCCCCGACTGCTGGGATTACAGATGTGTGCCACCAAGCCAAGCATTATTGACAGTTTTTAACCTCTTACTTGTATTGACTTTATAGGAGAATAATTATTTACTTTTCCTGGATTTAGTTATTAAGAGGCTTTATGTGGAAGAATGAGTTTTATCATGGAGGTCTGGAAGTGAGAATAATGAGCTATACAAGTAGTTGTCTAGGCATATAGGTCTTCCAGAAGGGAGAGGGGATCATTTGCCCCCTCCTGCAGCCCACTACAGCTTTCCTAGGGCATTAGAAGAATCTTATCCATATAGGGAAGAAAGTAGATTGTATGCCTGTGGGCATGTGTTCATCCTTTCATAGGAGCACATGGAGCCTGAGATTAGCTTTGGGTGTTGTCTTAATGCTTTTCTATTGCTGTGAGGAGTCACCGTGACCCAGACAACTTATACAATAAAGAATTTAATTTGTGGGTCACAGTTCCAGAGGGATTGGAGTCCATGACAATCATGAACTTACATCCTGGTCCACAGGCAGGAAGCAAAGAGAGAGCTAACTAGGAATGACATGGGCTTTTACAACCTCAGGACCAATCCCCAGTGGCACAACTCCTCCAACAAGGCACACCTTCTACTCTTTCTCATAGAGTTCTGCCAACTGCTGACCAAGATTCAAATACATGAGCCTGTGGGGCCAATCTCATTCAAAGTGTTCTGTCACTCTCCTCTTTTTTTTTTGGACAGGATTTCTTACTAAATCTAATGCACATGTATTTTGGTCAGTGAGCTATGAGAATCTGTTTTCATGCCTCCATTTACACACATACACACACACACACCAGTTACGGATGTGTGTGCAATAATACCTGGCTTTTTACTTGGGTTCCAGGGATGTAAACTGAGGCTCACTTACGTGGCAGGTATTTTTACCCACTGAGCCATGAAGATACATACTTTTTACAATTAAGATTTTACAGGTGAGAGAAGGTAGTAGTTGTTTGTAGTTTGTTTCTTTAATGATTAGACTTTTTGATTTTTCAAGATAGGGTTTCTCTGTGTAGCCCTATCTGCCCTGAGTGCTGGGATTAAAGGCATGTGTCACCACTGCCCAGCATGACTACATTTTTTTAAAAATGTATTTAATTTTATTTTATGTGTACTAGTGTGAAGGTGTCAAATCCCTTGGAATTGGCATTACAGAGAGTTGTGAGCTGCCATGTGGGTGCTGGGAATTGAACCCGGGTCTTTTGGAAGAGCAAACAGTGCTCTTAACCACTGAGCCATCTCTCCAGCCCATGATTAGACATGGTCAAAATTTTTAGATACATTCTTGCTTTTAGATGTCTGTATTTGGTTTGAAGTTATCCATCACACGGGACAATAATGGGAAGTTTCAGTCTACAGTCTACAGAGACTACAGGAGCTTTAAAAAGAACAAATTCAGTTCCAGTTTATTTGGTTTTGGTTTTCTCAGACTGAGTCTCATTAGCCCAGACTGACCACAAACTTGCTATATAATGAAAGATCACCTTGAACTCCTGATCCTCCTGCCACTGAGTCCGAAGTGCTAGGCTTGCAAGCATGCACCACCATGCATGGCTAGAAGTTTTGATGTTAGGAAATTATGTAAAAGCAGTGTTTTTTAGGTAGTGTTTTCTAGGTAGAGAGCTCAAGTATTGTATGTAGTTCATGATTTTCATGGGCTATCTTGCTGAGCCTAAAGCTCCTTTGAGTTTCTGAATACCTTGATAAGGAGCAATGGGGATGAAATAGTGAGGCCTCTATAAGTATTTATATATAAAACATCAGAGTGAGACTTTGCTAAGAGATTCTACTAACTTTCTAGTCCAGCTCTTGTACTTTTTTTTTTTCCCTCTGAGACAGAGTTTCTCTGTGTAGCCCTGGCTGATCTGGACTCATTTTGTAGACCAGGCTGGCCTCAAACTCTCAGAGATTCACCTGGCTCCACTTCCCCAAGTGCTGGGATGACAGGAGTGCACCACCATGCTCAGCTCAGCGATTGTACTTCTATGTAAGAAAAAAAAGGTAAAGAAGAAGTCAAGTGATTTGTCCAAAGATGGAAATTATAACCAGGTGCTATGACAGAAGCTACATTTCAAGTGTTTGAAGTCTCACTGGGCTTATGTTTAACATATCCAGTGATGTTCTAGAAAGCAAATTTTCTTGGGGAATCGAAACAAAACTCATATTTGTGGCATTTGCTAATTCAATGGCTGATTTCAAACCACTTTTGCAAGATCTTAGAATGACAAGTCAGGAAAAAACAGAGCGTAGTTGGTTCCGGTGAGTTGATATCACATTACCGGGTCTCACTGCAACTAAATGTTGGAGCAGGGCCTTTCAGTACAGTGCATGTCATGTATCTTGTCTAATTATAGCACCTTTTAGGGACACTAGACCTTTGAAAGGAAAAGTGTGGTTATTGTTCACAAGGCCTTGAAAAGTAAATTTTTCCAAATAATCTCTCATAGAAGATGTACTCACAGAGACATTGAAAATGAAGACAGATCTGGTCCTGCCCCTACAAGAAGCAAGAAGTATTCGTAGATAAGAGTTCGCAAAGTAGATCTGTGTGATATGTTCCACTGTGTAACCTGGCTGCAATCCTGGCGCTTAGGGGCCTGAGGCAGGAAGAGCACACTGCAGGTCTGCCTGGACTACAGAGTAAAACCATGGTGAAAAATAAACAACACTGCTCTATAAGTACTGACAAACCTTTACATCTGATCGTTGTTCTTCTGCTTTATGTTCTTATGGGTCTAAGTGCAAGGTTTCTGGAACCCATACTTTACAAGCTTGTGTCCACAGCGAAGGCCGCCTTGCTTTGGGAATCGTTGGGCAGCCACCAAGATCCTAATTTTTGCCAGGTGGGGTGGAATTCGCAGCCAACTCGAGCAGTGATCTTTGAAGACTGTGCTGTCCCAGTGGCCAATAGGATTGGGAGCGAGGGGCAGGGCTTTCTCATCGCCATGAAAGGACTGAACGGCGGGAGGATCAACGTTGGTGAGGCCAGAAAGGAATTGGGGAAGGAAAGCAAGGGCTGAGGCTAGCAACTGTCGTTCAGGCTCAGCTGAGGTCCTGACTGTTCCTCTGTAGCATCCTGTTCTCTGGGGGCTGCTCATGCTTCAATTATCCTTACCCAAGAGCACCTCAAGGTCCGGAAGCAGTTTGGAGCACCTCTAGCCAGATGCCAGGTAGGCACCTGGGGTCTACATTTGTATTCTGTTTACACCTTCCGTAGGGCCCACATTCTTGAAGGGGTTGGGCCAGGGGGTTATGGACATGTGATGGGCATGATGGGACATGAAGAATATGCCACCATCTTAATGTATATTTTGCATGTACCAATGCTTTTTTTTTTTTTCAGGAGACAGTAATACCAAGGTAGTACTTAGAAAAGGCACCTAATTTGAGATGCTTTTGCTTGTATGAGTATGTGTGTGTGAGAGCATGTGGGTGTGGGTGTCTCTGTCTATGTGGAGGTCAGTAGATAACTTTCAGAAGTTGGTTCTCTCCTGCCACCTATGGGATTATCTGGGGGTAAAAAAAGGCATCAGGTCTGTATGTGTATGTATGGGCCTCTACCTACTGAGCCAGCTTGTCAGCTTAAGATATCTTTTCAATGATTCCAGATCATCCTAGATGATCTGTTGAAACCTATGTGTCTTTGGTTTTGTTTTGTTTTGTTTTTTTGGTTCCGTTCTCACCTGTGGCTGTAGTACCTGCAGTTCCAGTTGGCAGACATGGCCACCAAGCTGGTTGCCTCCCGGCTGATGATCCGCACTGCAGCAGTGGCTTTGCAGGAGGAGCGGGAGGATGCAGTGGTCCTGTGTTCTATGGCCAAGCTCTTTGCTACAGAGGAATGCTTTAATGTAAGTGAGGAGTCTTCTTCCCTTCTGTGGTAGACAGGAAGCTTCTGCTAGGTTTAGGGATTTTGGGAGATGAGTCATCTATAGAACCCTGGCCTCTGGAGGCATCACTTTGGGGCTTAAGGATACAGATGAATTTATGGAAGGTCTGCATGGGAGCTCTCCCTGCTGCTTTTGTAGCCTTTTTCATTCTATTAAATGCATCAGTAAGGCTGTCTTTCAGGTGTGTTCTAGAGGTCTAAAACAGCCCAATGATGCTACCCAAATGTAGCACTAATTAGCATGTGGACTTTATCAAGCACAGAGCTGTTTCCACACTGAGACTGCCTTGTCACTAGGTGGCACCTGAATGTCCTGTAATCAGTCAGTAAGGGGGGTTGTAGGCAGCTTTGCATACAAGACAGCATGAAGGAGAAAAGCAGATGCTTGTGCATTGTCTGGCTGGCAGGCATTGACTGCTTCAGTAGGAGGATTGCCTTTCTGCCTGACCATTTAGAATCTGGAGCTTCTCTCTGGGCCCTGTTCTTTCATTCATTTAGAGTAGGCTGAGGTTTGGAGTGGGGATGGAAGCTAAGTACTCCACAGTCTTCCTGGGACCAAAGACACCTGTCTCCTCCCTGTTTCCCAGCAGATCTGCAACCAGGCTTTGCAGATGCATGGGGGATATGGCTACCTGAAGGATTATGCTGTTCAACAGTATATGCGGGACTCCAGGGTCCACCAAATCCTGGAAGGTAAAACTTGACAGAGGTCATTCTCTTCCGTTTGGAGCAGTTAGAAGATATATACTTTTCCAAGACTATCTTAGTACCTCTGAGATCCTGCCAGGTCCTCTGTCTTTATCTCCATTCTTTCTTTCCTCAGCCCTGCTTTGAAAGTGGTCTGCTGCCACATTAGAAAGTGCTTCATCCTCACGAGGGAGGAAGGCATCAGACCTCTCCACTCCTTTTTGTAGATTTCAAAGAAGACTCAAACAAAGCTAGTATATGAGAAATCTTGTTGGAAAGCACACTGGTGACTGTTTTCTATGTTATAAAGGACTTGGTCTTCAAGGATCTTAGACTTCCAAACAGCAGTTTAACAGCCACATTGTCTAAATGTTATCTGTCAGTATTGCTACAATATTTAGTAAATTTGTTGGCATGTGGCTTTCTCCTTTAACTACAGATATTCTTTTAGGCAACTGTGTGAGTTAGGCACAGTATGGCTTATACCCAGGAATCAGTCGATAAGTCTGAAAGGGACACAGCTTCTGTTCCCAATAGCGTAGGCAGCCAGGTCTGTCACAGTACTGGGGAAGCGTGGGACAGAGCTTCTCTGTGTGCTTCTTGGTGAAACAATGTAGAGGTATTTTATTGGGGTCACAAAGACTGTAAGGGTATGTTCCCTATCTTCAAAGGATCCATGTCATGCCTGAGTGGGTATCATAATTGTCTGGAGGACTTTTTCAAGTGGGTTATTGAGCCCCACCCTCAGTGTTTCTGCTTCACTGGGTCAGCTGAAGGCTGTGGTCACTGATTTGGAAAGTTTGAGTTCTGTTGTCCTATGTCTGAGTCATAATCCTAGAGAGCTGCTTTCTATCCAAACTTGAACTTGATTGAACCTTTATTTAGCTCAGCCCCTTATACTGAAACCAAATATCCCAGAGTTTTTTGAGTGGGAAATGTCACCATTTTACAAGGAAGTTTGGATTTGGCTTTCTTTGAGATTGTCTGTTTCTCAAGGGCTTTACTTTGTTTTTGTTTGCATAGAAGGCCACTATTAAAAATAAAATAAGCAATCAGTTCCTTCCTTTGGGGCAGATATTTTATTCTATAGTTAAGTTTTTTGTCCCCAAAGAAATATCTATTATTGAAAATCTATAAAATAAAAAAAGAAAATCTATAAAATATGCAAAAAGTAAAATATCATTCATCTTTCTACAACCAGGATGTGTATAAATATATGTTATATATGTTTGTTAAATTCCTCAGACTTTTTCCTATTCTTTTACAAGTTTAATTAAATTTTAAAAATTAGGGTTACACTAATTTTCTTCTACATCTTAATTTAATACAATCATTTTTGTCATCAGGAGGGGTCTTTAAAATGTAATTATTATCCCCCTGAGCCAGGAAGATGACCACAGGTACAGCCAGCCACTACCAAGCCAGAAGGCCTGAATTTGATCCCCAGGACCTACATGGTAGAAGGAGCGAGTTGTCCTCCGACCTTCACATGCACACAGTGGCATAGGCACATTCATACAGTACACACACGTGCACTCACACAATAAATACATGTAATTTTTTTAAAAATTTAGAGATAAATATTGCTGGGTGTGGTGATGCACACCTGTAATCTGAATGCTGGTGGGGCAGGAAGATCAGGAGTTCAAGGTCATCCTCATCTGTATATTGAGTTCAAGGCCAGTGTGGGCTACATTAGACCCTGTCTCAAGCCAAACAACAACAAATGTAAATACTGTTTTTTACACTGTCATTTTACTATAATTACAAAAGAAGTCGCAGTTGTCGTTTAAATCCATGACTACCGTGTTCCTACTGAATCCCACATTGTTCCTCTTGCAGGTAGCAATGAAGTAATGAGGATGCTGATCTCTCGAAGCCTGCTTCAGGACTAGCTCCCACACTGGAGAGTCTAGCCTAGAGTTCCATGTACAGCTGTAATCAGTGTGGATTGCTCATACGGGCTGTTCAGTTGCAAATGGATCATGAAGTAGACTGAAGGGCTGAGCTCTTCAGATGGAGACTCTGAGCTGTAGTGCTGGCTCTAAGGCAGGAACAGGGTTCTTAGCAGAGCTAGATGGACTGCCCTGAGGAGCCAAAAGAAGACCTGCACACTGTTTTCCTCATTCTGGAAGGACAAAGTCAAAGATGTGGCTTGGACCCACACTACATGCATTTTGTTGATTCTTGTCCTAGGGCCTAGGTACTTAAATAAAGTTTTTCCTGATTATAGCAGTAAAGTATTGAGGAGGGCAAGGACAGTGGACAGCCCTGCCCCTTTCTATTCTCTGTTCTGCACTAGTGGTGTCTCAGGACAGTACTCCTCAACTCAGATCATGATGAAGTGACTCTTCAGGAACCTACTGCTAAGCTATGAATTAGGGTTCACCTTCACTCCTGCAACCATGAAATAAATGTCAAGGGCTGAGGTTATTTGGAATATTTGGATCCTTATATGGGCTTTTATTTCTTCTTTGGGGACTTCTCCTTTTAAGGACTTTTAATTAGTACCTTGGTAAGATCTATCTCTTTACTGTCTGCTTCCATCTCTAAGCCTTAAAACTATATTTAAGATTTTTGTATTTTATTAAATATTTAATTGGATTTTGGAATAATGAGGAATCTCTCCCAAGGCAGTTTATCTTTTAAAGAGTACATCTACTTATTAATAATTTTGCAAACAAAGCACTATTTGTCGTGTGTGAACATCTAAGTACTTTCAATGATTAAGACTTTGGGGAAAACCCTTTTACAGATGATTATTTAATCCATCTTTTGAGATATAGAAAAAAATGTGCAACATATTTTTTTAAACACAAGTCAGTGAAAAGGGTCTGAAAAAGGGTCTACCACAGCCAAACATTAAGCGGAACTCAGGGAGTCTTGTGGAAGAGTTAGGGGAATGATTGAGGGAGCTGAAGGGGTCAAGGATACCACAAGAAGACCTACATTGCCAACTAACCTGGGGTCATGGGGCCTCACAGAGACTGAGCCAACCAAAAAAAAAAAAAAATTCATGGACTGGATGTAGGCCTTCTACACATGAAGCTGATGGGCTACTTGATTCTCAAGTGGGTCCCCTAAAAAGTAGAGCAGGGGCTATCTCTGACTTGGGCTCTGTTGCTTCCCTCTGGATCTTGTTTCCATAGCAGAGTTGCCTTTTTTTTTTTTTTTTTTTTTGCTTCAGTGAAAGAAGAGGCACGTAGTCCTGATTTGACTTGATGCGGTGTGCCAGGGTGGGTTTATATTGGGTGTGGGAGATTTTAGGGGGAAGAAGGGGATATAGGGAAACTGGGTGGGAGGATGAGACTGGAAGGAGAGGAGGGAATAGGGTTGTGATTGGTATGTAAAATGAACAAATGAATAAATTAATGAAAAAAGGGAAGAAAAGGAGTCTATGTCTTTAGCTATGACAGATACTTTCTTTTCTGAACACATGATCTGACTTTGAAATTGTCTTGAGCGCAAGGCAAATCATGGTCAGCTGCTGCAGTTAATCCAAGGCAGCCCCACATCCCTACACCTAGGATTAACATGAAAGCATATTCTTACAATAACTGTTTGAAAAAAAGATAAAACTTTCTTTTTAAAATTTTTAAATTATTTATTATGTACTTTGATGTTCTGACTGCTTGTATGTGTGTGCTTGTGTATGGTTCTGGGACTTGAACCTGGATCCTTTGGAAGAGCAGACAGTGCTCTTAACCACTCAGTTATCTCTCAAGCTCCTAGTTCTGTAGGCTTTTAAGAAATCAAAATTCCAGATTTTTTTAAAAATGTTACTACAAGGAATAGTGTAAGTCTTTAAGATCTCAAAGCCTGCTATCAAGCTCCTACCACTTAAGCCTCCCCAAAAGACACTGCCAAGTGGGGCACACATTCAAATGTCCATTAATATGGGAGACATCTCATTCAAGCCGCCACATAACCATTATTCTAATATCTGACAAAATAGGCTTCAAACTAGATCAGAAGTAATAAAGATTATGTCATCCTGATTGATGGAATAATTTATAAAGGAGACATTGCAATTTTAAGCATATGCACACCGAACACAGGTATTCCCAATTTCATAAAACTAGAGTTAAGATGGTGTGAGCTGCCATGTGAGTGCTGGGAAGTGAACTCAGGACCTCTGCAAGAATAGTAAGTGCTCTCTCCAGCCCTTGTGTTCAGCCTTAAATTCTTTTATTATTGAGACTGAAACCTTCAAGAGGGAACCATGATTTACTCAGTGTCACACAAGGCCTATAGAGGGGCTCCTCAAGATTTCCAGTAACACTTCTTTTCTGCCTTTTAATTCTCTCATTAGCAGAATAAATGAACCTATTCCTGTACCCACATACAACATCAACATGACTGCTTTGGTGGTGGCCAACTGATTTCTGATTGGATTGAGGCCTGCTTCCAAGGAGGGAATAAATGCCTGTTACTGAGGCCTAGTCAAGATCCTGCTCCTGGGGAGGTAAAGGTTTGGGGAGGATTTACTATTCATGTTTTTCTTGATAGATGTGTAGTCAAACTTCCTTATAAATATTATGTCTGTATCCATGACTATTCTCAGCCGTGGCCAAGAACACTTCCTTACACACTGGGAGAGGGTTAGTAGAGACTTATAGGTGGGCTCGCAGTTGCTAATCAAGTGCTCTCTTTCCGAGCTGACCCTGAGGGAGAGTCAGGGGGACATAGAGAGACAGGAAAACCACGACTAATCGCTCTTTGATGGTGGATTCTTGTTCTGAAAAGATAGTGCAAAAAGATGCACTGAGAAGGGGGTAGGTATCTAAACAGGACCAATAGTAGAAAAGAGAGGACCTAGGGGTTCTAGAAAATACCCAACCTAGACTGTGGTTAGCAGACTGTCAGAGCTGAACCCTACTCCCAGGTCAAGGAAGCTGTTCATTTGCTTCAACAAAGTTGTCACTTTCTCTGTGTCTGTCTTGTGTGTTTCCCCAACATTCAATTCTTTGTCCACCCATCTCTGTGAGTTCAAGGCCTGCCCTTGAGGGTGTCACTCCTTTGAAGAAAACTTATTTCTCCCTCTCCCAGCAGGTTTATTTGCAAAAGTTTCTTGGTTAGGAGTAGGACTTTGTGCCACTTCCTTCTCCATGCTTGAACTTTTATCTTGCTTGACTTGTATAGTCACTGTGTATTCACATGTGCATTTGCTCTGCTGCGTCAGGAAAATGCTGCATTCTTAACAGCATCCACCACCTCTGGCTCCTATTATCTTTGTGCCTCTACTTCTACATAGATTCCTAATCCTTGAAGGGGACACTTGGATGAGGATATCCCATTCAAGAATGAGCACTCCAAAGCCTCTCACTCTCTGCACACTGTGTAATTGTAGGTCTCTGTGTAATTCCCATCTACTGCAAGGAAAAGCTTCTCAGATGAGGACTGAGTGATACACTGACTTTGGGTACACCGGAGTCTCACTAGGAGTCATTTTTTATGTCCGCTTAGTAGAATAATAGTTTTTTCCCCCCCTAGGCCTATGACCTATGTAGTCTCTCTTAGTCATTTTAGCAATATCAGGTATGGGCTCCATTTCATGGAGTAGGCCTTGATTTCAAAGTTAGATATATTGCCAAAATTTTTTTAGGAAGCGATTATCCTGATACCAAAGCCATATAATTGTTTAACTTTTTACTCAGTGGTGTGGGAATCTCTGGAAGGGAGGGGCCTCATGAGGATCTCAGGCACCCCAGACCTTCTTCTTGCTTAGAAGAGGGAATGTTCATAAGCCTCAGCTCTTGAAGATCTGATGCAAGTCATCACAGCTACTCTGCTTCAAGCAAAAGAAGGAAACAGCCATGCAGAGTAGGTATGGCAGCTGTCTTAGGCAGTATTCTAATGCTGTGAAGAGACAGCCTAACCATGCAACTCTTGAAGAAGAAAGCATTCAAAGTTCATTCGCAGCATAGTGGAGAACATGGCAGCACACAGGCAGACATGATGATGCAGAAGTAGCTGAGAGGTCTATATCTGAATCTGTAGGCAGCAGGAAGAGGAAGACACCAGGAATGGCTTGAGCTTTTGAAACCTCAAAGCCTACCCTTGGTGACACACCTCCTCCCACAGACACACCTTCTAATGTTTTTTAAGTAGTGCCATCCCTGATGACCAACATTCAAATATATGAGCTGGTTGTTTTGTTTTGTTTTGTTTTGTTTTGTTTTGTTTCAGACAGGGTTTCTCTATGTAGCTTTGGCTGTCCTACACTCACTTTGTAGACCGTCCTGGCCTCAAACTCATAGAGATCCGCCTGCCTCTGCCTCTGCCTCCTGGAGTGCTGGGATATAGGGATGGGGGCTATTCTTATTCAAATCATCACAGCATCCTTGTAGAAAACTGCCTCCTTTTCCTCATCAAAAGAAGAAAAGTTGGGGCTGGAGAAATGGCTCAGTGGTTAAGAGCACTGGCTGTTCTTCCAAAGGTCCTGAGTTCAATTCTCATCAACTGCATGGTGGCTCATAACCATCTATAGTAAGATCTGGTATGCAGGCAGAAAGAAGAAGAAGAAGAAGAAGAAGAAAGAAGAAGAAGAAGAAGAAGAAGAAGAAGAAGAAGAAGAAGAAGAAGAAGAAGAAGAAGAAGAAGAAGAAGAGTTGTTCTAAGGTAGTTTTATAGTTTATCCGTAGCCAAATCAGACCTAGCACAGCCAGTTTGTTTCCAATGCCATAGCTTTTTAAATTTAATTTAAAAAATATTTTATATGTATTGGTGTTTTGTCTTCATGTATATCTGTTTACTTCATCTGCATGATGCCTGTAGAAGTTGCAGGGTGTTGGATTCCCTGGGGCTGAAGTTACAGATGGTTATGAACTGCTGTGTGGATCCTGGGTTTTGAACCTGGGTCCTTAGGAAGACCAGAACAGCCATTGTTCTTTGAGCCATCTCTCTAAATCTTTTTTTTTTTTTTTTTTTTTTTTTTAAACAGTCACATATACTAAATATGCTACACTGGTCACATACCTCATTATATAACCCAAGCTATCCTGGAACTCCTTCTTGATCCTTCTACCTCCTTTTTTGGAGTCATGGAATTACATATATGCACCATATCCAGCTCACTGCCACATTTTTTTTTTTTTTTTTTGGTGTTTTTCTGAACTATATATACACCTGACCTTAGCCCCATTTGTGTGAGGGTTGTAACTGTCAGCTCCATTCATCAAGCATTTAGGTTAAGTCAGCAAGCCTGATTTCCAGACATGCCAGAAGAAGAGCTGTGGCTTTCTCTGTGCCAGTTGCTTCCAGGGCACTATGAGGAGAGTGGGAGAATGTGGGAGCTGGAGTCTCTCTTGAACTGGTGCCTACTTCTATTTCTCAATTCACTCCTCTTACTATTGTTCCAAAGATGAAGTACTGTTTGACATACCACAGAACTCCTTTTGACAGTTGTTTCCTTAAAGAAACAAAAACAAAAT